CAACAGTTGGGTCGCCCCGCTTCCTTTCAAAGAACCGCGCCAGCGATTGCCAAACAATAGAGAGCAGGCAGTCAGTAGGTTTTCATCCCTAAAACGCAACCTAAATAGGAAACCTGATATTCAGGGACAATATTTGGCATTTATGGAAAAGATCTTATCCAATGGTCACGCAGAAGTGGCTCCTCCACTAACACAGGGAGAGGAGTGTTGGTATCTCCCAACATTCGGAGTTTACCACCCAAAAAAGCCAAATCAGATCAGGATTGTTTTTGATTCTAGTGCCCAGTACACCGGTCTCACTCAACAGTGTTCTCCTCACTGGTCCCGATCTAAACAACACGCTCATTGGAGTCCTTCTCCGCTTCAGGACAGAGAGCATTGCTGTCATGGCGGATATACAGCAAATGTTCCACTGCTTTATGGTGCGTGAGGACCACCGTAACTTCCTCCGTTTTCTGTGGCATAAGGACAATGATGTAAACAAGGAAGTTATTGACTACCGCATGAAAGTTCATGTATTTGGAAACTCACCATCTCCCGCAGTTGCCGTTTACGGACTACGCAAAGCCATTAAAGCAGGTGCAAAGGAATATGGTGCTGACACAGTCAATTTTGTGGAGAGGCACTTTTATGTAGATGATGGCTTGATCTCTTTGCCCTCTCCTGCTGAGGCTATAGACTTGTTGCAAAGAACACAAGCCTCACTCGCAGAATCCAATCTGCGCCTGCATAAGTTTGCGTCTAACTCACAGGCAGTCATGCAGGCCTTTTGCCCTGAAGATTGTGCACCAGTCATTAAGGATCTAGATTTAGGTGGTGAAGAAACACAATCTCAGCGAAGCCTTGGCCTCATCTGGGAAATAACAACGGACACGTTCACTTACTCAGTGGCCACCACAAACAAACCATTCACTCGGCGTGGCGTTCTGTCGGCTGTTAATAGTGTCTTTGATCCTCTGGGCCTATTAGCACCTATCACAATCCAAGGAAGAGCTCTACTCAGAGAACTCACTTCAGAAAACTCGGATTGGGACACACCCCTTCCAGTGGACAAACAAGGTAAATGGGAAACATGGAGAAATTCCCTTCAGGACCTAAAGGATCTACATGTTCCTAGGACCTACACTTCTACCTCACTCAGTAAAACAATGCACAAAGAACTATGCCTATTCTCAGACGCATCAACTAAGGCGATAGGAGCCGTAGCCTACTTGAAAGCAGTTCAAACAGACGGCAAAGTTGAGGTCGGATTCATAATGGGCAAAGCAAAGCTAGCTCCCTTGTCAGAACCTACTATTCCGAGACTAGAACTGTGCGCAGCCGTCTTGGCAGTAGAAATGGCTGATCTCATTCAAGATGAGTTAGATCTACAGTTCGACGCAGTGCGCTTTTATTCAGACAGTAAGGTAGTACTAGGCTACATCTGTAACGAGTCAAAAAGATTCTACACATATGTCCACAACAGAGTACAGCGCATTCACCAGTCTTCAAAGCCGGAGCAGTGGTATTATGTGCGCACAGAGGAAAACCCGGCAGACCATGCGTCAAGGTCCTTGCCAGCAGCTCAACTCACAAAGTCCACATGGTTCACTGGACCATCCTTCATACACCATTCTTCTGTGGAAACAACACGTCAGTGAAACATTTGAGCTGATTGAACCAGACAAAGACTCTGAAATCAGGCCACAAGTCAAAACTTACGCCACTCATCTCCAAGTACTAAGCAGTAAACGCTTCGAGATGTCTTCAACATTCAAGTCGTTGGTCAGAGCAATAGCAAATATTGTCCACTTTGCAAAATCCTTCAATGGGACTAACCCAAACAGCATATGCAAAGGCTGGCACAGATGCCACCTCCCACGTACTGCAGAGGAAATAGCTCAAGCAAAGAACGTTATTCTCAAAGAGACACAAAAGGCTCACTTTCAAAAGGATCTTTCTGCTCTTAACACTGGAAAGCCAGTCTCAAAACAGAGCCCCCTACAAAAGCTCAGCCCAGTCTTACAGAACGGTCTCATTACCGTGGGAGGCAGACTCAAACACTCCGAAATTGAGAACTTTGAGAAAAGCCCAGTAATTCTCCCCAAAGACAGTCACATCTCCCTTCTGCTCACTCGTCACCACCACGAGTTGGTGAAACACCAAGGCCGTCATCTGACGGAAGGAGCAATCAGGGCTGCAGGTTTGTGGCTCATTGGCGGCAAAAGACTAGTAAACTCAGTAATCCACAAATGCATAATCTGCCGCAAGCTGCGCGGAAAACAGGAACAACAACGCATGGCAGACCTACCACCCGAACGCCTCAAAACATGTCCTCCTTTCACCTACGTCGGCCTTGATGTTTTTGGGCCTTGGACTATAACAACAAGGCGTACCAGGGGCGGACAAGCCGAAAGCAAGCGTTGGGCTATCATGTTCACCTGCATGAGTTCGAGAGCTGTGCATATAGAGGTGATCGAATCTCTAGACACATCCAGCTGCATTAACGCCCTACGTCGTTTCTTTGCACTAAGAGGCCCCGCCAAACAGCTGCTATCCGATCGTGGCACCAATTTCATTGGAGCTTCGAAAGAACTAGGAATGGACAAATCAATGCAACAATATCTATCAGATCAAGGTTGTACCTGGGAATTCAATCCGCCACATGCCTCACAAATGGGAGGCTCTTGGGAGCGCATGATCGGCGTCACCCGCAGAATCCTGGACTCCATGCTACTTCAAAATAAGTCGCAACTGACTCACGAAGTGTTGTCCACACTCATGGCCGAAATCACAGCCATCATAAATGCAAGACCACTCCTCCCAGTTTCCTCTGATCCAGAGAACCCCTTTATCCTATCTCCCTCAACACTCCTTACACAAAAATCTTGCCTTTTACCACCCTCTGGAGACTTCCTGGACAAAGACCTTTACACCAAGCAATGGAGGCAGGTCCAAGCTCTTTCAAATCAGTTTTGGACCCACTGGAGGCGAGAGTATTTGCCCACACTGCAACAAAGGCAGAAATGGACCATATCCCGCAGAAACCTCCAAGTCGGTGATCTGGTTCTGCTTAAGGACAAGCAGGTCACACGGAACAGCTGGCCCATGGCAAGAGTCACTGCCACATTCCCAGGCAAGGACGGTCGAGTAAGGAAGATCGAGGTGAAGGCATGGGACCAAGGCTGTGTAGAGACTTTTATAAGACCGGTTACCGAGGTTATTCTTCTAATGCCAAAGGACTGAATGTATAATGTTTGTTTAGTACAGTGGCCTCAGGAGGCCAGGCGGGGAGTGTGTTGCCTTTAAGGCATTTTGTTAAATAGATAAGTTCATGGGTTAAATAAATAATATTAAAAAAATGTTTTAATGCTGCTAAAAGTGATTAGAAGTTGAATAGATGTATAATTCATAGTTTATTTACGTTTTTATAGAAAAATATTATCGGTAAAATCTACTTCCGGTTTGCGGTGACGCACTTCCGGTTCCGGGTTTCGCTAGGAAACAGAGAGGTCCATGTGCTGCAAACGGTATGGAAATGTGAAATCTGATGCCATCCACGCTGAATTATCAGACAGGAATGCCGTAAGTTGCATTATGTTGTTGTTTATGCTGAAATGTCACTTTATTCAGTTTGATGGACTTTTAATTTGTATGCAACGACTCTATGTATAGAGATTGAGTTTATTTTCTGTTATTACAGTTTTCACCGCATTTCGATGAAGGCAATAAACACGCTTGAATCGCACCTGGGTCTTCATTAGCGGTTTAACTCGGTGTCACCAACATCTTCGAGGTTGAAAACACTACAATTACTGTACAAATTATTAAATAAATATCAGTAGCCATGTTTAAAAAAATGTTCACGGTGTCATTTTGCATTATTACTTTGAAATAATTATTCAGTTTTATTTCTATGCATGGGTTTGTTCGGTTGTTACCAAAAGGCTTGGACATTTCATGTCAACAAAGTAAAAAGAAAAAATGTTTAAAGGAATAGTCTGGTCATATTCAGAATTCAAACTGCTGAAATGACATTAATATGAAATTATTACATATGGTTCAATAAACGATAAGTTTTTTTAATTAAGAGTAATTTCATTTGAATGTGCTTTACTGGAGACATCCATGTTCATCAATAACACTACTGCCATCTACCAGTTTGTGACGTCACGGTGCGGTATCGGCTGCTGAGCAAGTCCCAGTGCTGTATCTGGTGTTTGTCACAACGCCCTATTATCCAAGTCATCTTGAAAACATTCTTCTTTGAAATTACATATTACGTGTTTTTTCCTCTGTCCTGAAGTTCGATGGCAAATCCTCCCTCTTCAAGATGGCAATCCAACGACGAATCCGTCCGTGGTGGATCATGAATCGGAAAGGTGAAAAAACTGACTTTATTTTTCACTTTCACCCAATGTATTACAACATCCAACTGCCATGCACGTGGGCACTGTCAGTTTAACTACAGCTCTAGCGAATTTCAAATGATGAAGTCATCTCTGAATCTTAAATAATTGTTGATTGCAGATGTGTCTCGTAGTTCCAATTGATTTTGCTGGTAAAGCAGGGAGAATGGCGCTAGGATTATCGCACTGTGATGTCACTGCTGGAAGATGTCAGGAGTGAGGTGTTACAATAGTTGGGCAAAAATAGCCGGTCTCGGATTTGGTGATCAGTCCTTCGTGACCAGACTTTTACTTTAATAGCAAGGGTTAATGGATCCTTGCTTCAGCAGCATACATTTACATGATTCTTTCTAGAATGAGAAAAGATAATTGTCTGCCGCTATTCTAACCCTAAAAGAAAAAAAATTATGCACCGATCTCACAAAGGTGGAATCATAACCACGTATCTGTGAAACAAAAGAACAAACTAGCACAAGGCCACCTGCTGTACACTACAGAGTGCATGCCTTTATCAGGTTGCATCGCATCTTAAGACTAGATGGAAATTTGAATCAACAATACAAATTATCAGTTTTTTTACTATATCTCAGTTCAAGATGACAAATAACTTACCTCTGTTTCCTTGATTTTCTGTACTGATTCTCCTTGCGGTTGGTTCTGGAGGCTGCCTATGATTGGTATTTCAGCTTCATTTAGAGAGGTCAGAATGTGAGACTGCCCAGCATCCAAAACCAATTTCACTAAAACAGGAATAAAACATAAAAAAACATCACTAAGATCTGACTTTTTTTTTTTTTTTTTTAAGTGCAGCTAGAGCTAAGGTCATGCTGTTCCCTCACTAAAGAACTGGTCTCGTCTCTCAAACTTACCTGGAGTCGGACTGGGTTCTGCTACAATGTAAGTGTCATTAGAAACACTGGAATCATTCAAAGCCTGCGAGGGCTGGTGGTTGCTGGACAGTAGCTCTGACAGAACATGTGGGTGTCTCTTTACCAAATGCCGTCGAAGGTTGCTGATGCCGCCACTTTTGTGCAGCTTTTTCATGCAAATGCGGCAACGAGCGGCGTTCAAGTTGTCCAAATGTTCAAACAGCCTCCAGATCAAACTGCGCCTGCGTGAGTGCCTGTTCGGGATGTGGTTAAGATCGTCCTCGTGTACTAGATGTGCATATGAGCGTTGTTTTGAACCTTCAGAGGGCCCACTGACCGCAGAACCAGCATCATCATGCATCGTCTTGATGTTGGATTCGTCGTTGTCCATTTCCACTACAACTGAAAAACAACAACAAAAACAATTTCTTTAAACTAATAAGTCCAACAACTCATAAGGAATAATCAAAAAGTATTTTCTGTTAATATTTTCTTGCTGATACTTGGCTTCTACTCACACCTGATGAGACATATTATACAGTTCAACCTGATCAGAATTCCAACATTAGAAACACGCAACTTGTAATGATTTGCAATCCATCAGTTTTCCTATTGCAGCTCAGGATTTAATCTACGTAAATGCTACTTTACAGTATTAATGGGCTCTTGGTACTCATTTAAAGTTTAGATTTCAAACCTTTTCATTGATTTCCTTGTTTAAAATAAAAATTAAGTTAATTTAAATATCTATGTGAAGTTTCTATTGGACTGATCATAACCATACACACATGCATATATACATTACCAAACAAAAGTCTTGTAATATATACAGTTACCTACAAAAAGTTTTGGACACCCTCTAACTTCAACCAAAAAGATCTAAATTTTCAGTCTTTGTGAAGAATCAACAAGTGGGACACAATTATGAAGTGGAACGAAATTAACAAATTTAAAAAATGAAAAATTGGGTGAGCAAAATTATTCAGCCCTGTTGAGTTAATACTTTGTAGCGCCACCTTTTCCTGTGCTTATAGCTGTAAGTTGTGGTATGTCTATCAGTTTTGTACATCGAGAGTGATATTTTTGTCCATTCTTCCTGCAAAACAGCTTGAGCTGAGTGAGGTGGGATGGAGAGCGTTTGAACAGCAGTTTTCAGTTCTCTCCATAGATTCTCGATTGGAGAACCTGTGGACTTCGACTTGGCCATTCTTACACCTGGATATATTTATTTGTGAACCAATTCACAGTAGATGTCGCTTTCTGTTTTTGGATCATTTTCTTGCTGGAAGATAAATCTCCATCCCAGTCTCAGGTCTTCTGCAGACTCCAGCAGAAAAAAAAGATTTTGCATTTAACATAAACAAAATGTGTCAATAGGCCCTACCCAGAACTCCTCAAGTGGAAAAGTGTTACTTTCAACTAGTTTAATCCTGGGAAAATCTTCTTCGAGAAACCTTTTGCAATCCAATTAGTAATCGATTTATGGAAATAAATAATCAACAGGTTAATCGATTAGCAAAGTAAACTTTAGTTGGAGCCCCATATATACACTCACCGGCCACTTTATTAGGTACACCTGTCCAACTGCTTGTTAATACTTAATTTCTAAGCAGCCAATCACATGGCGGCAACTCAGTGCATTTAGGCATGTAGACATGGTCAAGACAATCTCCTGCAGTTCAAACCGAGCATCAGTATGGGGAAGAAAGGTGATTTGAGTGACTTTGAACGTGGCATGATTGTTGGTGCCAGAAGGGCTGGTCTGAGTATTTCAGAAACTGCTGATCTACTGGGATTTTCACGCACAACCATCTCTAGGGTTTACAGAGAATGGTCCGAAAAAGAAAAAACATCCAGTGAGCGGCAGTTCTGTGGGCGGAAATGCCTTGTTGATGCCAGAGGTCAGAGGAGAATGGCCAGACTGGTTCGAGCTGATAGAAGGGCAACAGTAACTCAAATAACCACCCGTTACAACCAAGGTGGGCAGAAGAGCATCTCTGAACGCACAGTACATCGAACTTTGAGGCAGATGGGCTACAGCAGCAGAAGACCACACCGGGTGCCACTCCTTTCAGCTAAGAACAGGAAACTGAGGCTACAATTTGCACAAGCTCATCGAAATTGGACAATAGAACATTGGAAAAACGTTGCCTGGTCTGATGAGTCTCGATTTCTGCTGCGACATTCGGATGGTAGGGTCAGAATTTGGCGTCTACAACATGAAAGCATGGATCCATCCTGCCTTGTATCAACGGTTCAGGCAGGTGGTGGTGGTGTCATGGTGTGGGGAATATTTTCTTGGCACTCTTTGGGCCCCTTGGTACCAATTGAGCATCGTTGCAACGCCACAGCCTACCTGAGTATTGTTGCTGACCATGGCCATCCCTTTATGACCACAATGTACCCAACTTCTGATGGCTACTTTCAGCAGGATAATGCGCCATGTCATAAAGCTGGAATCATCTCAGACTGGTTTCTTGAACATGACAATGAGTTCACTGTACTCAAATGGCCTCCACAGTCACCAGATCTCAATCCAATAGAGCATCTTTGGGATGTGGTGGAACGGGAGATTCGCATCATGGATGTGCAGCTGACAAATCTGCGGCAACTGTGTGATGCCATCATGTCAATATGGACCAAACTCCCTGAGGAATGCTTCCAGCACCTTGTTGAATCTATGCCACGAAGAATTGAGGCAGTTCTGAAGGCAAAAGGGGGTCCAACCCGTTACTAGCATGAGGTACCTAATAAAGTGGCCGGTGAGTGTATATGAATGAATGTTGTCCTATGGACAGAGTCTCCCACCTCAGCTGTAGATCTCTGCAGTTCCTCCAAAGTGATCATGGGCCTCTTTGCTGAATCTCTGATCAGTCTTCTCCTTGTTGGAGCTGAAAATTTAGAGGGATGACCGGGTCTTCGTAGATTTACAGTGGTCTTATACTCTTTCAATTTCGGTTTTAATGCCTGCACATTGCTCCTTGGGATGTTTAAACCCTGGGAAATCTTTTGTATCCAAATCCAGGTTTAAACTTCTCCAAAACTGTATCTTGGACCAACCTGGTGTGTTTCTTGTTCTTCATGATGCTCTCAGGCTTTAAACAGACCTCTGAGACAATCACAGAACAGGTGTATTTATGCAGAAACTGTTACACACAAGCGGATTCCATTTATCACCATCAGTCACTTAAGTCACTATTGATCATTCAGAGATCCTCACTGAACTTTTAGAGAGAATTTGCTGCTCTGGAAAATAAACGGGGTGATTCATTTTGCACAGCCACCTCTTTGGCTTTTTTATTTATTCGTTCCCCTTCACAATTGTTCCCCACTTGTTTATCCTTCACAAAAATTTACTATTTTTTTATCTTTATGTTTGAAGCCTGAAACGTGACAACATTTCGAAAACCTTCAAGGGGGGCGAATACTTTCGTGAGGCACTGTATATATGTATTGTTCCTTTGAAAGAATGCAAAGAATGTCCATTTTGAAGAATCTCCAATATCAATAGATGTTTTGAGTTTAACAATTTAACAAAGAATATGAAGGCTAAAATTTAAGAACATACATTTCAAAACAGATTTTGTGAAATGAGGCTTTTATATTCTTAAATGAAGGTGGTCTTTTCTTTGTGCCTAGAATACCAGCTTGGTTCAACCCAGTTCCTTTAAATCTAGTTATTTGTCCATTTAAGCAGGAAGTCTCATCCGATTATCATGATCAATTTTAACCAATTATTAATGCTTCACACATTAGTAAACACAGGTGCTGTTGTCACCATAGGCTTGATGTGGGCCTAGCATATCAATGGGCTATATGCCCAACTCCACTACTTCATGAACTTCAGCCAACACCTTTGTTTCCTGTCATTTATCAGTGGATAAACTGACAATCCAGGTGTGTCTGACCTCAGTAACCACAATGACATTGCCCAAACTTACCTGGATCAATCCGTTTGTCCAGTGATGACAGACAGGAAACAGAGGCTGTATCCGAACATGCAACCATTATGAATTTTCATGAGTGTTTGAATGTCTAGTGGATGAAAAAGAAGTGGACTCAAAATTTCAAAACAATGCACCAGGAAAAGTACGTGCATCCATGGTCATTAGTCAAAGATATATATAGATCCCAGAATACTTTGTGAGAGCTCTCCTCGCAAAGCACCATTTGTTTTGGGGGAGAAAGAAAACAGATGGTACAGACACCATGCAAGGAGCTGGAGTCACCTGTACGAACAGTCAGCTTACTAACATGGCCTGTATTTATATAGCACATTTTTAAAGTCAGGAGACTTGACCAAAGCGCATTACACTCCATTCAGTCATTCACCCATTCGCTCACACACTGATGATGGCAAACTACATGTAGCCACTGGGGCTCACTGATGGACGCAAGGCTGCTGTACACTGGCGCCACCAGACACTCTGACCACAATCAGTAGGAAATGCGGGTGAGGTGACTTGCCCAAGGACACAGTGACACTGAAAACCAGAGCTGAGGTACGAACCGAAAACCCTCCTATACTGAACTACAAGGTCCAGTATATAGTCCTCACTCTACATAGTGGTTAAGGGCTTAAGGAAGACGTTCGGACACGACCAGCGGTGCTGGCTGAAGTTCAGGAAGTGTTGGAGTTGGGAATATAGCCCATTATTAGGTACAGAATTATGCTTTCGTTACCAAGAGCACTGGGGGACAGATCTATAGGCAGGAGTGGAGAAAGTAGCAGGCATATACATGTCACTATATCCAAGAAGCCTAACCATATAGAACCCAAGTTTCATTCTGATAAAGACACTAATTTCCTAATCACTAGATGCTCACCATCCACACAGTAAAATTTTGTGTTTTTACACTTAGAACCTGGGATGATATTGCTGTTGATGTGGGAAATCAGCCAAAAAAAAAGACGCTATTGATTTATATTGCACTGCATCTAAAACTTCTGAAATAAGCACTCTGCTCAGCAGCACTTCTGTCCTGCACACAAAGCCATCATGATCCAAACAACACAACACTAACAGACTGGCTATGCTACTGGAGAAGGAGTGATATCAAAGGCATGGCTGTACTTTGGGTTGAAGTCCACAAAGGAAGTTGCACCTAAGTGTAAATCTTGCCATACACATGTTTCCCTTTTTTATTATTTTATATTCTATTTAATTGTAGAGAATGTTTAGGTTTAATTAACTTATTGAATAATAATAAATGGGTCAGTTTTTTTTCATAATTACTTTTCTGACTATCGTTCTCAGTTTGAATAATACTACTTCAAGCATTTTCTAAGATCCCAAACTACAAAATAAGTAATATATGCATGTATGATTCATGTTTATATTGGTGTGGAGGCAGCAATATCATAACTGAATTGTGAGGGGCTAACTTTAACATTCAGGGAGGTCTGCAGCAGCTAAAAGACTAACATGAAGGTAAAGCTAAGTGAGTCAATTAAGCATTCTAAACTAAAATACAAGGGGGCCTAAAAGTGAGCCATTGGGAACTCATTTCAGTCCTTAAAAAGCTGAAACCATATAAACATCACACAGAGCTTTCTTAAACGTACCTTCCTTGCGCAATTTAGAAACAGATAAACATGAATAGTCCCAAACTTTCAACCACCAATTTAACTGGTTACATCTGATCAGGTAGGGAAAAACAAAACAGAGGAAGTAAGCTAGAAGGCTTACCTGAGAACACCTCTTCTCCATCTATTTCCATGTGTTGGGGATCTTGGCTGGAAGCAGCTCCGATGTCTCCTTTCAACCCTCTAGAGACCTGTGAGGGGTGTTTGAGGCGCAGATGTCTTAGCATCGGCGTAGTGGAGCCGTGCTCCTTTTTATGGAGATAACGATTACAAAGCACACACTGCACCGAGCCTTCGTTTATGTCTCTAAAAAAGCTCCACACTACACTTCTCTTACGGTACGTATCCAGCTTTACCTTTTGGGGTCCCGTTCCACACGGTACCGGGGACCCGGGTTGGATTAAATATCTGACCGCAGTCTGCTCTTCGGGAGCTGCCATGCTATTTTAGCCAAACTGACTGCGTTCTTTTTTCTATCTCTTCCTGGTTCTCTTCTTTTTCTGTAGCTAATTATTGGAACACTACCGCCACCAGGTGGGCGGTGGTGAAACTGCAGAGTAAGCAGGGAAACCTCTGGTGCCATACAAGAAAAAAATATTTGACATACACTATATTGCCAAAAGTATTTGCTCACCTGCCTTGACTCACATATGAGCTTAAGTGACATCCCGTTCCTAATCCATAGGGTTCAATATGACGTCGGTCCACCCTTTGCAGCTAGAACAGCTTCAACTCTTCTGGGAAGGCTGTCCACAAGGTTTAGGAGTGTGTTTATGGGAATTTTTGACCATTCTTCCAGAAGCGCATTTGTGAGGTCGCACACTGATGTTGGACGAGAAGGCCTGGCTCTCAGTCTCCGCTCTAATTCATCCCAAAGGTGTTCTATCGGGTTGAGGTCAGGACTCTGTGCAGGCCAGTCAAGTTCATCCACACCAGACTCTGTCATCCATGTCTTTATGGACCTTGCTTTGTGCACTGGTGCACAGTCATGTTGGAAGAGGAAGGGGCCGGCTCCAAACTGTTCCCACAAAGTTGGGAGCATGGAATTGTCCAAAATGTCTTGGTATGCTGAAGCATTCAGAGTTCCTTTCCTTGGAACTAAGGGGCCAAGCCCAGCTCCTGAAAAACAACCTCACACCATAATCCCCCCTTCACCAAACTTTACACTTGGCACAATGCAGTCAGACAAGTACCGTTCTCCTGGCAACCGCCAAACCCAGACCCGTCCATCAGATTGCCAGATGGAGAAGCGCGATTCGTCACTCCAGAGAACGCGTCTCCACTGCTCTAGAGTCCAGTGGCGGCGTGCTTTACACCACCGCATCCGACGCTTTGCATTGCACTTGGTGATGTATGGCTTGGATGCAGCTGCTCGACCATGGAAACCCATTCCATGAAGCTCTCTGCGCACTGTTCTTGAGCTAATCTGAAGGCCACATGAAGTTTGGAGGTCTGTAGTGATTGACTCTGCAGAAAGTTGGCGACCTCTTCGCACTATGCGCTTCAGCATCCGCTGACCCCGCTCCGTCAGTTTACGTGGCCTACCTCTTCGTGGCTGAGTTGCTGTCGTTCCCAAACACTTCCATTTTCTTATAATACAGCTGACAGTTGACTGTGGAATATTTAGGAGCGAGGAAATTTCACGACTGGATTTGTTGCACAGGTGGCATCCTATCACAGTTCCACGCTGGAATTCACTGAGCTCCTGAGAGCGACCCATTCTTTCACAAATGTTTGTAAAAACAGTCTGCATGCCTAGGTGCTTGAATTTATACACCTGTGGCCATGGAAGTGATTGGAACACCTGATTCCAATAATTTGGATGGGTGAGCAAATACTTTTGGCAATATAGTGTAATATTCAAGACCAACCAGGGGCGTAGCCAGATAATCTTCACAAGGATTGCCAGGCAATAACCAAATTACACTGAGGGGTGGCCGAAAGTGGATAGGAGCCAGAACCTCAGGGTCACGCTACACTGTTCCAACAGGAAAATTAATGAGCACAAAATCCATATTTTCTAAATAAAGACAAAATGTCCTTTCCCACAAGCCTTTGCTAAAAAATAGACGCATATATTTAAACATCTTCCTAGATAAAAGGTATAGTGGATACCTTTCCGGTTTGAGTTCTGGGTCGAACATCTTTTCCTTTGTTATTAGTTACTTTTATCAATAATCATTCTGCTTATATTTACAAGTACCCTACTAATATCTACATAAATTGATTATTTAATATGTATTTATTAAAATAGTTATCTGTGATTTCACTGAATACTCCTTTATGACCTACAGAGACAAATAATTTTCTCTTTACCCCTTTATAGCACAAAATCTAGTTCTGAAAAGAGCATGAATTTGCTGCTTATCATCTTTAATGTTAGTATATAGATGTGCATAATTAACTACAATGTTTTTGTTGTCAAGTAAATGAAAGAATGAAATGTTTTGAATATTCCACTTGAGAGTATTTCTGCTGCCACTGTGTGTATTACAGGGAAAAATGGTAGGGGTGGCCACAAATTGGCTAAGGGCGGCCATGGCAAACCCTGGCACTCCATCTAGCTCCGCCCCTGAGACCAACAAAGCCCCATGTTATGTATTCTATGAATAGAGCATGACTATTTTGTATTTAATAAACAGTAATTAATCGTATTAAGTAGAGTGTAAAAACTGAAACTGATGGAATGCAAATTTAAATTATGTATGACTTCAGAGTAGCCTTTCAGGTGCAAGGCTATAAAAAAATAGCTTAAAAAAAAAAAAAAAAAAAACTCTTTTATAATGTTTTTGCTGTGTTTAGTGCACACATTTTTAGTGTTACAACTTAATGATAAGAATTAAAGGCTAAAACTTCAGAGTGGGACAAATAAAATGGTTAGTAACAGCATTAGTACAGGGAAATAATACAAACAAATTTTAAAAAGCAGATTAATAGAAACAGACAAGCCTATCACCTATTTACATTGAAAAAGCCTGATAATGACATTGTTTGTGTGTGTATAATAAAGTTTTTCTTTCTTAATTACATTTCGAGCAGTCTAAAAAATAGGGTTAAGACTGAACATTGCCTGCAAATGAACATTTCTATTCCATAAAGTGCAGCAGTAAAAATGTAAACAGTTTTGGAGAAAAAAACACTTGAATGCAAAACACATTTACAATGCAGGAAAAAAGGATGAGCATATATTAAAAGACATGCTGTCTTAACATAAGAAAAGTAATGCTTAACATTCCATTAAACCTAAAGGAGTCTTTTAGCTGTTTTTTTACTCATACATGTCAAGTCAATGCTCTTTCTAAATAGGTCAAATTCACATTCATTTACAAAGAATCTAATTTCAGGTGTTGTTGTGAATGCTACACATCAATACATTTCTATCTTTATCTACATGCAGTGCAGTGTGTTCCTCATTGTGCAGAACAGTACAGTTAAAGCCATTTGATTGTGTACACAAAGTTGTTCAAAAAATAATAAACTAAAAAGCATTCACACCTTTTTTGTGCAAAATAATTACAATGTTCACTACATCTCAAGCTGCAAAGTACAAAGTGTGGCAAGTAGGGGGAAGTGATCTACAAAGGTTGGTTTACTGAGAGGCAAGAGACAGTCCAGCTTACATTAATAGCTTTATTTAATACACAAATCACATTTATCCATACACATTTAAAAACATAGCTGGGCCAGGAGCTGTGGCCAACAGTGGAGCAGTGGAAATAAGGGGAGGGAAATCAAAATATAAGACACAACACCATAAAACAAAAAAATGCACCTCAAACTAAGAAGAAAACAACCATCCAGGGATCCACCACCACGAGTGTGACAATCAGCTCCTAGAAAGACAACACGTTAAAAACGTCGAGTGAACCATGCAAGATAAAAACCCCAGAAAAAAACAGAAAAAGACAATTGTTCATTCTGCCATTTTAATATGGTCTTTTGGTGGAAGCTGAACTGGGTGCAGTCAGAGTGACCAAGACTTTTTATAGGAAGCCAGCTAATGTAGGGAACCAATCAAAGCAAGACCTCAATTGGAGATCTGCCTCCATCTCTATACTGCCACACAAAGTTCAAATTTTTTTTAAGGGAGTATCGTTGATTACAGGAAGAACTGGTATGGTTGGATATCTGTTCTGGAGGAAGTTTTAAACAAAAACCCTCATGGTAATAGACCTAAAAAACAAAACAAAACAAAGATGCATATGATAAGAATCCCTCAATGTTATAATGTTGTTATCAATGCAATTCAGATTTTTTATTGGTGGTGTGTTGGTCCTGACTTATCTTACCTTCCATGTTTAAAGGACTGCCTCATTGTTGAATATTTAGGAAATGATTGTTAATCATTCTTAATAGGTTTCATGCTTTGTCCTATGAATCTATAACTAAGTAAAGACCATTTTTCAACTCCTACTGAACCAAGCCTTTCTTTTATATAGTTTATGTATTATTCTAAATAACAACCATGAAGAAAACTGTTTTTTAATAATTTTACAAGCAGAAAACCTACCAACACGGAGTTAAAATATTCCCTAATCTCCTGTTTTCCTAACCCATCCTGAGTTTGGTCCCCATTTACAGTGATGAACATTTGTTTCTCCTTAGATAACTTACTTACTTACTTAACTTCGATAACTTTATTTTAATTACTGATGGTATCAATATATAGTAAGCATAATAAAAAACAGAAGCAGAAAATTAGCTTTAAATAAAACAACTGCATTTATTAAAAAGAAAATATCTGTCACACAGATGAACAGTACAGTTTATCAACTTTGAAGCAGCAAATTAGTGCTCAAAATGCCATATGAGTTAAAACAAGACTGAATAAAAAAAACAATAGATATATAAATATTACAGCATCAAACAGAAATTCACAGGTTGAAAAAAAACATCTACAATGTAATTAAATAAATACAAAAAGTCTCTTATAAATGTTAAAGTCACATTTGCAGCAAGCTGGGTGGTGCAGGCAATAAACTGTATAGTCAATAGGTGGCATTTTATCAGTGTAAAAGACAAAGAAAATTTGCTGATGGTGGAACAGATCAGCTGGAATGCGTTTAAGCAGTGATGGATCCAGCAGTAAGCAGAAGGATTTTCAAAGGAAATGCAACATAAACTAGAGCACTATTGAGAAAATGAGATGCAACTAGTAGTATGTCTATGTCAGCTAATTTACAGATGAATTAACCCCATCTACTCTTTAACACCTCTTGATTCACCAGCACTGAGGACGCCTTTTAAACTGGAGATTGGACTGTAACAAAAAATGTATTAAATCCTTGTGCCTTGAACTACATGTAAAATTATTAAAGTCACTCTTGTTTTGCTTGTATTAAAAAGAAAAAAAACAACAAATGTAAACAATATTCTATATCTTTAAATTTAGTTGTCAAATATCAACATATTAATATTCAAAGCTCTATTTAAAGGCTTCCTTACAGCTAAGAGCAGGTAAACTGGTAAATATTAGTGTCCCACACCATCACTTAGTTTCAACATCTAAAAGGATCAAGGTGGAATGTCTTAGTTTTGACAAAATCTAAATAACTCACAAAGCATGTTTCATCCATGCAGCAATAATAACTATATGTAGTAAATTCCTCTTAAAAGAATGAAAGTGTGATGCATTAAACCAAATAGTTCTGGCACCACATCTACAACCTGCTGCACAACAGAAGCTAAACTTAACAGATCATTTAAAGGTGACAATGCTACAAATTAAACATCCTATTCTCTACACAGCTTATTTTACTCAGTTCCTGGTATAATTGCCAAAGTGTAATGTAACAGGAATAAACAAACAAGAACTGTTCTTTCTTGGTGTTTTTTGTTACCTTTACAAACCTGTAATGTCCTTATTTTGACCATTTTAAATGCAACAAAGGCAACGATAAGACCCAACAGTGATTCCTCAATGTTTTGAGTTTAGAACATAGCATTCTGCCAATAACATGCCATTACACTGAACACAGATAGCTACAGCTGGAAATCATAACAATACAAAGATTGCAGGGATTGAAAAAGTTGGTGATTTGATGGTTTGCTTATATATTTGTTTAGTTATCATCATGTTTGGAGGAACATTTCTTTTCACATCATTGGCTTTATGTTATTGCCTTAGGAACTTCCTGATGTTGTTTACAAATCGTTATCTTTTAGCATCATTAAAAACAAAATGCTGAAAATGACAAAGGTATCGGCTATTGTGTGTTATAACATCACTAACTTGACCAACACAACCAGGTCCAAAATAGAGCAAAACTAAACGTAAACTGCACACAGTGACACTATTCAGACCTGATTTAGAGGTCATTTGAATTGGTCATGACAAAGCACTTTGCAAGTCAAACGACGCCCTCGTTTTTATATTCAAACTAAGGTAAACTCTGCAGAATAAGAAATTGCCCCACGTTTCAGTACATCCAAGATAAAGTAAAACAAACCACAATTTTAAGTTACAACACAGATTAACTATGAGAGCGAAGACATTGTGCTCAGTTGTTGATACACATTAAATGCAGCAAATGAAGCACATATGTTTAAAACACACAGACAAATACCTAGTTGGTTGTATATAATGCTATATCTAATATAGGTGTCGATGCAAATTAAAACGATGGAAAAATACATTCGTTATTTCTCAGTTTTAAATAAGCCAGGTTAAGACAACATCTACTGCGTCATTGGCACATCCTGGTCAAAAAGATTTGATGGAAATAGGTTATCAGTATTTGCACTGGTCAGAATCCAAATAATAAGGCTGTGGTTTACAATGCATCTTCCTACAGGCGCCAACAGACAACGCAGCTGTGTTTGTTTAGGTGAAACATTAATCTGTAAAACCTGAGAGGAAGTCAACACGTTGAAGGAAGTAGTCTAGTTTGATGTAAACGGTCATAGCGGCTGAATTACAGCGAGACATTCAGATTCCTGTTCTGTCAGGTAGTTTTTGCACCAAGTCAGTTTTTGTTTCTTTGTAGCGCCTCACACAAGTTGTGGTTGGGATCCGGCTCCTGACTCATGATCTCCACACAGACCCATTCGCCGCTGCTGCTGGACCGTTTCACAGCCTCCACCACCGTCTGCACATACAGGCCATCCTCAAAGGTTGGCGCAGAGGCAATCGGTCCTCGAGCCCATGACCGTCGCTCTTCCTGAGCCTGAAAGGACTGTCTCAAGGCCTTCACCATAGAGCTAAGCCCCTGCAGGTGTGGGAGGGGCATCTCTTTCACCTCTGGTCCAACCCCGCTGCTGTCAGCCAATAGAAGCTCCTCACATTTACTCTCATTTCGATGACCAAACAACTCGGTGCCCCTGGCGACCAACCTTCCACCAGATCCAACTACCATAACCTCATGCACAAACGACCCCGGCATGTTGAAGTTCAGGGTCACAGTGCAGCATACGCCCGAGGACCCGCTTTCACCCATCAACATCTGGAAGAAACAAAAGTCATCGCTGGTGATGCGGCGGATGCCTCGGATTAGGCTGTTCTGTTGAACAAAAGTCCGCAGTAAACCATGCACACGGTGAGCTCTGGTGCCCGTGAGGTAACTTAGCAGGTCGATGATGGCGGATCCAACGATGTGCAGCCCGCCTCCACCCATCAGCTCCTCAGAGGTCCAACCGTAGGACTGGTCCAAGAGGCTCGGCCCATAGACCCGCACATCACACACCTGTATATTCCCGACGTATCCTTCCACCAACAGCTGACGCATCTCCACAAAGGCTGGCAGGAAGCGTAGGGTGTTACCCATCATGCTCAGCAGCTGGGGGTAGTATCTGGCTGCAGTCACCATCTTAAATGAATCGACAGCAGTTGCAGCTTTCTCACAAACTACATTCTTACCAATACCTGTAAGAACAGAGGGAAAAATAAAACATGCTGTTAGCAGTAAAAACATAAAACAGTACTAAATAAAAAAATAAAAAAACTGTAGGCTTTGCAAACATTTTAATCCTGCTGTGATCTTTGCCAAGCCTAGTGAAAATGTGGATTAAATGGAGCTCTTTAGCTGATCCAGACTCTTCTATAATATGGCATATAATGGATGTGATATTTATATGGAACTAATCTTCAGTAGACTGTGAATTCAGCCTTTGAACGTCTCCCTGTGTAGATAAGTCCTTCAGCAGGGAACAGTCAGGAAGTTGCGACCAAAACAGGAAATTGATCTCAACACTGAGGAATTCCATCAGATAAATGCACTTTTAACTTCAACGCCCCTCTGGTATAATAATCTAAACTCTCACTTTTAAGAATTGCAAAAATGTCAGATCAAATAAACTAACAGGGTATTTTACTATTTCAGAGGGGACTCTACTTTCAGAGTCTCTTCTGCCACAACCATTAAGATTGCATCAATGGAAATAAGGTTTTCAGAACTAAAAGGTAACTTGAGAGTTAAGCAGCTTTTTTTAATTTAGATTAAAAAAACAAATATTTTATTTTTGAAGGCTTACCCAGTGCTTTGACTGCAATTTGTCTGGTCATTGAGGGAGGGATATAGATGCAGACCAGATCTACATCCTGGTGCAGGAGGACATCATCAGATCGACTGGTATGAAACGGGATGCCGAGTTCCTTTGCCAAGCAGCAAGCCTCCTCTTCACTCCGTCCCCAAAGCGCGTGAACCTCAAAGCCCTCAGCTTGCAACAGTGGAACCAGCACCCGGGCAGTGCTGCCGGTGCCAAAAACACCAACTCCTGGCAACATGGCCTTGCCACTTGGCATTACTTTACATGCAAACCACAGCCATCCATTCCAAAGTTGTCACCAGCAGATATCCTCTGTTTGCACTCTTAAAGGAAGTTACCTGGGAATTAAAAAAAAGACCTAATGAAGCTTAGTGACAGCAAACATTCCTGCGATCCAGCAGCATCAATCAACAACCAGTAGTTCGGTGTTCCTTTTCATAAAGCCCGTATACCATGTCTTGACACATTCTTCATATGCCTTTCTTTTTTGCTCCACACCACCATGTCATCTTTCCCACCATCACACATGATTATTCTGTCTCAATGTAAATTACAATGTGGGAATTAATACACCAGTAATTTAAGTTAATCAGTTAACTCTAAGGAAGAGATTGGACTAAAACAAACTGATAATTAGCAGGTAGCTGTTGTTTTTCTTGCTGATCCTATGCTGTTACCAAGACCTAAATGAAATACATTTTCCATTCACTCCCTTTGCAATTAAGGAGATAAACTTGTACAGCACACATCTAGCAATGATTTAACAGGAGAGGAGTACAGTTTTTTTTTTTTTGTATCAACCAATCAGTGTGTTCCTTAAGGATTTCAAGTACTTACAATAAAAAAACAGCTCATTTGACCATTTGATGTGAAAGCACATAATCAATTAAAAATGCCAAAGCCAGATATCCATTACAAACATGTAAGAATATTTTGAGTGATTTGTTTTTCGTTTTGATGTGGACTATTTCCTATTATTGTTATAGGGAAAATAACAATTTTACACTTCAAACTACTGTTAAAAGACAATTCATTAACATTGACAAGTTCTTTTTTCTGATGTTTTACAAAACGTAACGAACCAGTTAGGAAATAAGCCTAATTTCTGCAGCCAGGTTCATGCAAGCTGATAACGAGCGGCTATTTATAGAAAACTTTATCGAAAAAGAGCCAATGACATTATGTCATTTAATCTGGATGTGTGCAAACACAGACAGGTGTGATACTATCATCTCATGCGAACAAAGGGTGTGTGGGTGAGCAACCTGTGCACCTGCATTACCAGTGAAACCAGAAGTAAAAAAAAAAAAACAAACAAAAAAAACTCTTCCCAGCTCAGGAATTAGGAAGAGGGGAAAACAATCACTCATCACACTACCCATCAGGAGATCAAGTTCTACTTTTCTTTTTCTTTTTTTTTTTTTTACAAACTATCAGTGTCCACAATTAGCTATTAGGTTCTAAAATATTGTAGAGTGTAGTATGAGTTTAAAACGAATTATAAATACAAATTTCAGGGTCATACGTGAAAGGAGTATTTCATGAATGCAAATAGCTGTCCACAACAGAGAGACTATTGATAACCCTGTCAGCTAGCATGTACAGCTAGCAGCACAGATAGAGGCAGAGCGGACTCCAAACCCCGCCAAGAAACTTGCGACTATAGTATATCTATTGAGCTTTAGTTACATCACTTATTCTTAAAGACTAAATTCATAAGAAACATTTAAACCTACAGATAACCTCCTGTACCTACCGGCGGGTCATCGTCCGCAGCAGCGATAGGTTGAAGCAGGGCGCTGCCCATTTGCTGTAATGGTAACTTCCTTAGCAACAGCTGGGCGGAACCGGAAATGCTACCAACGGAAGTTTTATTGTGGAAAAATACTAAAAAACGGATCTGCATACAAGACATACACACCCACAGACAATATATACATACACACGTTTATACACGTAGATATACGCAGATAAATGTCTATGCATATAAATGTGGTTATGGAAGACCAACTCTGCCATATTTAAAAATAAATACAGAAATAAATAAATGCTCAATAAACAAATAAGCATACATTTAATTACCCCCAAAATACAATAAAAAAATAAATCTAGGTATAAATTAAATTATACAGTGAGACATAAGTTTATATATCTCTTTTAATTAGCTTATTTATTTATTCGTTTTGTAATAATTACCTTATTTATTTATTCTGCTTTATAATCTTCAACTTTATTTATTTATTACTTATTTTTCAAGTATTTATTCACCTTTGTAATATTTAACTTATCTATTTATTATCCGTTATAATCTTCAACTTTATTTATTTATTACTTATTTTTTAAGTATTTATTAATGTGCATGTTATAATATTTTTGTCTGTTTTATTCTTCGTTTGTATTTTTTAACCCCATTTATTTTTTCTTCCTGTTGTTTTTTTATTTCTGTATGTATGCATACAGAAATTTTTACCTACATTTATTTGTATATTGTATTTTTGGGGGCAATAAATGATATGCTCATTTATTTATTGAGCATTTATTTATTTATGTATTTATTTTTAAATATGGCAGAGTTGGTCCTCCAAACTTTAGCATTTTACTGCATAGGTCGAGTCTGCAGGAGGATAGTGAGACCGTCTTAGACACACTCTTTCCTCATTTACATAATTGGGCAAAAATGCATGCAGAAATGTAAAAAGGACAGGCGGAAATAAATAGTGTTGAAAAAATAAATAGGGTAAAAAAAAATAAAAAAGAAGAATAAAACAGACAAAGATATTATATCATGCACATAAATAAATACTTTAAAAAATATGTAATAAGTAAATAAAGTTGAAGATTATAACAGACAATAAATAGATAATTATTACATAGGCGAATAAATAAAAAAGCTAATTAAAAGAGATATATACATTTATGTCCCACTGTATAATTTAATTTATACCTACATCTATTTGTTTATTGTATTTTTAGGTGCAATTCATTGTATGCTTATTTATTTATTGAGCATTTATTTATTTCTGTATTTATTTTTAAATATAGCAGAGTTGGTCCTCCATATTTTTCGGCGTGGTTTAACGAATATAATTCTTCCTCTGAAAATCTCTGCAAAGTCGTTTCCTCTGTGATCAAAGGGGGCAGTAGTCCCATTTACGACCGAACCTCCTCAATGAACCGGTTCTTCAGAATTGTGCTTAGAGTTAGATTTTTTTTTAATGACACAAATAAAAATCATGATTAAAAATCATGATGGTGATGAATCGATTAAAAATAAAGCAGAAATTTGTACTTATCTGTATGTTTAATTATTTATTATGCATTTATTAAACATTTTAAGATTACAAGCATCAATTGGTATGCAATGCAAAAACAAAAAATGGGAAAAAATGTAGCAACACAAATTCAAAGTAATAGTAGGCCTAAAATTAAATGTTGAATAACTTGATTTAAAAAAAGAATTTCACAAGCAAAGTATTTTTCAATCCAACAATCAATGGATATCATGTAAGATTCATTGCACATAGTGATTTATTTTAAGCAATAATTTAGAATATTTTCAGTAAAAACCTAAATGTCTGACAACTTTTAAAATAGATTTTTAAGATGTTGGTCTACTGATCGTCCACCTGCCAGGCCATTAGAAATTCACCAAGAAAAAGCAACATTACAGACTGTTAACATCTATTAATATAGGATTTATTAAGAGTGATATGAACATTTTTATAATGAATAAATTCAAAGAGCTTAGGTGAGCCGAAACATTATGAGTCTATTGCCATCCCAACTGGAGGATTTATTTAATTTCCAACATTTGCCGTGTTATAGGACGTCTTGGTGCCACAGGTATGGTCCTGCTAGGGTAAACAATCTCACTTTGAAAATATCAAACAATTAAGTTTCTAAAAAGGCAAGCTATATGAAAGTTAATCAGTTTGTTTCCTTGTTGAGTCTAATGTTTCTCATAGATTCTTTATGGAGTTTAGGATTCAAGTCTGCTTGCCAATCGACCACAGCAATGCTTTTGTCATTTTAAAAAATACCACCACCTTTGGCACCTATAGTGGGTGTGCAATTGGAAAATGAAATCAGCCTCGAAATGAAGCTTGTTTGCCTAAAGGTCACATGTTCTTTTAGATGGCTGTGCACGACCATGAAAAATGATTCATCTTCTATGGTTCAGGAGGAGCGCCTTACACACAGTGCTACAGTTTTAACCCATGTCTTTAAGACGTCTGTGTGAAATGATAATGATCCAGATGGAGTCTCCCTTTAGCTTTCATCTTAATGATGTCAGAATTTGTTGTAATAGATCTAAGGCAAAATAATATTCCTGTGTTTTTTTTTTATCTCAATTTAAAAGAAACTATTTAAATTAGGCTTACAAAAGTATGATAAAGATTAAATGTGAACCTATCTGTACTCCTTCCCTAAATTAGAAGAGCTACTTAAAGATTTCAAGTGAAATTTATCCTTACAATATTTTTTTTACACTCAATGTCTAACATATTTTTAATACTGTTGCTTTTTGTCACTGAATCCTAAAAAAAGATGGTATAAGTATTTTATTTTAAAGCTGTCATCCAACACCTTTCAAGATTTTTCTCTAATCACACCAATTCCCCCTCAAAAAAATATACAAATATTAATAATCCTGCTATTCTTTTTATTAACGACTCAATTGTGATACAAGGCATATTTCACGTTACAAAATTGAGTATAAATGTACATGTTATGACTGAGTAGAGTACGTATAACAGATTAACAATGAAAAACAGACAAAAAAAAGGTTACAAAATGAACAGTATCAGGACCAAAAAAAAACTGTCACTACATTTACAAGACAATTTTCATATCCAAAATTTTGATATTTAGCAATGCTACTTGGGTTTTGCTTTGTTACAATGTTTAATACTTTAAATGATTGGAAATTAAGGAATGGCTTCAACTTATGTCAGAGACAGCAGCTTTTGAAGGCATGATTTCAAGAGTGCGGAAGGAGCCGAGTAAAGCTAGCAAAGCATGGTTGTATTTTGATTACAGCGTTGGTATAGATTCTTAAGGAATTTGGGGTGTGTTGTATGCTTTATGTATGTGTAAGTACATTAATATGTTTTGGAATAGATAATTGATGAGTGCTGTCATGTTCTGTGTTGCTGCCGATGTATATTTGTATGTTTTTGTTTACTGCAAAATAATAATAAAAAAAAAATTATGACAAAAAAATACTTCTTTAAATCAAAGTATTTCCCTTATAAAAATGTTGAAAGGAGTGAATTTTAAATCTGAATTAAAAAAAAATACTCAGAGGGATTAAATTGTTATTACTGTAGTTTGCTTCTTCATCTCCTGTTATGAGACCAATCTTTTTTATATTAAAAGTCAAAAGAGGAATAGAATTCTTATGCAAGTTCCAACCTTGTAAATCCTTCGAAATACAATTAATAACAGTGCACTTAAAATAGAGGTGTCCTGTAGTCTAGATTTTCCTATCACAAAATGCACAAAAATTTGTATGTATGTTGAGTTTTATTTTTGGAAAAAGTAATTATTAGGATAAATGGCCATACATAATGTTGAAATGGATCATTTATTTTTTGTTGGAAATTAAAAATATGTTTATGATTTTCCGAAGAGAGATCATCATGTTTTCATAGAGAAATGTTTTCTTCTTAAGGTCGTCAAAATGTCCACCCTGAATTTATCATTGCCTTTTTTGTCACTGATTATGATTATTTTGGGGTTAACCCTATTACTATCACTGAAAGACTTGTGGTGACTTTGACTGATATTATTTCTGGCCAGAAGGGGCGCTGTAGCAGAGATTCCCTCATAAAGAAAGCGCAAAGCATTCTGGGACTTTTAGTTCTAAGTAAGCATCGGTTGGCTTGAAAACACGCCGAAGAACAAAAAGAGACAAAGAAAATCGTACGTCTCTGTTGAATTCGACGTGAGTACGATGTACATTAGCCTTGAAGTTGGACAGTTTTGGGTTAATTTGCAATGAAAAGCTGTCTACTTGGGTCAAAAATAAACAGGAAGTTGTTAGCTTTGTGGGACGTGTAGTTCCGTTTGTAGGCCGCCAAGCTTGGTAACAACGCATACAAAACAGAAATATCTGTGAAATAATATAAAACTTAGGGTGTGTATTTTTTAATCTTAGGAGGGAAGATGCCCGGGTTCACCTGCTGTGTCCCCGGCTGCTACAACAATTCGCACCGGGACAAGGACCTGCGCTTCTACACGTTCCCTAAGGACCCAGTTCTAAGAGAGCAGTGGCTGCGGAACATTTCCCGGGCCGGGGTCAGCGGCTGCTTCAGCACTTTCCAGCCCACCACGGGCCACCGCGTCTGTAGCGTGCACTTTTCTGGCGGAAGAAAGACCTACACGGTCCGGGTACCGACCCTCTTCCCTCTGCGGGGCGTCAATGAGCGCAGGAGTCGGAGGGGCAGAGGGAGGAAGTTGTCTGCCTCGGTTCCTGCCCCCGGGATCGTCGCTACCAGCGTCCTGGGAAACACCGCTGGCGTCGCCGAGGGGACTATCGGCGGAGAGGCTGGTGACGACAGCATTACGGTGGTTCAGATAGGCAACAATGGGGAGTACCTGGGCACGGCGCGGCTTCCCGCCCAGGCAGAGGGCACCGGTAACTACGCTCCGGAGGCTTTAGTGGAGCTCAAAGTAGAAGACTTATCGGCGGAGCCCGGGTCTAACCAACAGCAGCTGTCCGTTCACTATCTGAGTGTGACCAGCAGCCCCCTGGACCACTCCTACTCCCTGACCACCGGCACCACGTCTGCGGAGTTGCTGCGGAAACTGAACGAGCAACGGGACATCATCGCGCTGATGGAGGTGAAGATGAAGGAGATGAAGGCAACAATCCGCCAGCTGAGAGTCGCTGAAGCCAAGCTGCAGGAGGAGGTGCGGGAGCGGGACCGGTTACTGTCCAACAACTCTGCGTCTGGGAACGTCCGGAAGAAAAACTGATGAGGAATTGACTGAAGTTACATCCACCGACAGGTTGAGGAGGAGTCCGAAGAATAATCCCGCTCAGTTTTATATTAAACTGAAACTACGATCACAGTTTGTATTTAGCCTGTAGATCTGTTTTTCCTAGGCTTCATAATATAAACAGTCTGCTTGTTTTTTGTAGCAGATAGATCGACCATCATCAGCATACCCATTTCCCCCCTCATCACAGACTAATTAGCTTGCACAGACTCAATAGTATGTAAGCTCGATCCTGATGTTGCATCATAAGGGTTTATTTGTGTCCATGCCTTTCAGCTTATAGAAGGAGCCTGACCCAAGAAGCAACTCGTGATTTAACATGAAGAGCAGCAAGATGAAGAAAACACTACTCCTGACCAGCCTTTTCATCATTTAAATGCCCTCATCACAGATGCCTTTTATGTATTCTATGTTAATTTAATTTTCTTTATTTTGAAAGTGTTTGTGCAAGTAAAGAAACTCCTTAAAACTATAATATTAGTAAAGGAAGTTTAAGTCTGTGAAACATATTTTTCTGACATTCTTTTAAAGCTACATGTAATGCTTGTCCTAAGCTAGTTTGTGTTTCTTTTTTTGCAATAGTTTATGTTCTGGACTAAAGGCTATTGTTTCACTGCTGCGTCTCTTGACAAATTGTGTGTTTTTATGCACAGCAAGTTTTATACAGTTATTAGTTATGAACTTTGTCTGACAGACGACCTTTTATCTCAGTTTGTTCTGAAACCCGTATAATGTTTTCTGGTCATTGTTTCAGTACCTGAGGATGTAACAAGCTTCTGCAGTGTTTGCTTTGCTTTCTAACTGCAGATTCAAACAAAGAGAGCTATAAGAGGGACTTCTGTTTTAGGAAAGGAAAAATAAAGCAATTGTGGTGGCTTCTGCAAACTATGTTGATTTTCTTTTACTTAATTAACCTTTTAAGAAAGCTAGTAAAACAATTTATTAATGCACAACCATAAAGAATGTAATGGAGAATGAAATCGACCACACCTTCCCAGTATAACAGTTTAGGGCAGGCACATATATGAGTAATTAATCTTCATGATGAAAGTAAAATAGAGCAATAAAGGTGTCACAATACTTGTAAGACAATATTAGGGTTTCAAACAGGTAAGATGTATATGAAGTTTCTAAAAATATTTTTTCCTGGATACCATCAAATCACACTTAGTTTTTATTAGTTATTTCGATTGTTTAAATGACAGAATATCTCGATTTTTGTATAAAAATATTGGTATGTATTTAATCAATATTTGATAGAGCTGTGTTTTAAACTGAATGACTTGAGTTGAGTAATTTGAGTTTACTTTAATAGTTTATAATCTACTGGAATTTGGGTCTATTCCTCCTGACTAGTGGTGAAACTAAACCAGATTTAAAGGCTGATTGGTTTACACTCACTTTTTCAACCTATCTCAGAGATTTCCTATTAGACTGAGACCATTGTTTTTTTTAGGATGCTTCAAAAATATTAATGACAGACCATTTGGAAGATCCATCAATGCTTATAGGCTTTAACGTTATATCTGATGTTCCAGGTGTTTCTTAAAAACTCAGACAACATTTATTGTCATTTTGCATACACAGAGAGTATACAAAACAAAATTTTCTTTTTGTAAAAATTTAGGCACAGCGTTCTTGCGTCATGAGGCATAACTTTCATGATTATGCAATGCCACTAAGGAAGCAGTGTGTATGAAAGAAAAATTATTAAATTTTCATTGTTAAACTTATCAAACAATATTATTAAATAAAACATAATAACATGTAAAACAGGTGTTTAAAACTGAACTTTGAGGCTAACCATGTAAGAAATGACTCCCACCTTGGCTGAAATGGTACAAAAAAGCATCTTCCATTTGTATCGATGTACCTCTGGGAAACTGGACTCTTTTTTTTTTTACTTTTAAAGATACTTAATACATAGAGCAGTCTGCAGGTGGATGATGAAATATCTATAGTACTGACATACATTAAGCCCAATCCTCTCACCACACACACACACACACACACACACAGACGAGGTTTAATTTCTTTAGTTCTGCTCTTAAAAACTGCTGAAATAGTTTTTATGCAGTATGAATCTAATGCAGTGTTGAAAAAAACACTAGTTAATAATATTAAATTAAAAATACATTTTAGTAATTGTGCAGGGATAAAGTTAAGGATAGCATTATGCTATTACTTTTTAATAGGTATCAAAATAATTAAACTTAAGGCTAAACATATTCAAGTCCAAAACTCTTGACTAACCTAGAGACACTTAAGTAAGCTAAGCTACTATATGCACAAAAAAGAAGAAATGATAGCGGTCAAAAACCATACTATGTAAAATCACAGTCTGGAATGGATTTTATGTTTGAGAACCAAAGTTTATCATGAAAAGTTTGGAATAAAGTTAGTTTTTAACTTATTAAGAGCAATTTTAGTTTTTACATTCACAATGCAAATACAATGAGTTAAAAATGATGACAAAATAATATTCCATGAAATTCTTTGCCTAAATCAGTAAAAAGTAAAAAAAAAATAGTATCAAAATACATAAACATAGTAACAACTAAAATCCTGACAGTTTAATGTAGACTGTATCAATTTTGTCATTCTTACTATATCTTAAATCCTAACATTAATAGTTGAAAGTCTTTTCAGACATCTTCAGTTGTAAAAAAAAAAGACAATAAAAGATGTCTAAGTCTAAGTCATCAATATAAAATTTGCTGATAGACCTAAACAGAACCCAGTAAGCAAGCAAACTGAATATTCCAGACACCTTTGAGATTAAATCTAGATTATCTGTTTTAAGATAGTGTATCTAAAATATGATAGTGTTGTATGTGTGTAAAGGGAGGATACTTGTTACAATTATTTGTACTTTTTAGAACTCAACCGAGGAAAGTCACTACAGTTTTGAACCAAAACGTTGTATGCCAGTGGAGCTGTTCAGACATTAATTTCATTATCAAGATCTAATTGAACTTTTATTGTAATTTTGTATACACTGAGTGTATACAAAACAAAATTAGATAGTAAATGAACATTTCCATTCCATAAAGTGCAGTAGTGATCAAATGTAAACAGTGTGGGAGAGGACAAATTGTTCCAGAGGACAAATTGTAAGAAGGCTGCACGTTTGCCAACCTGATCACATTTGATTTCGTTTTTTTCACTCATCTTCTATTCAAAATGTTTTTTACTGAGCATCTTTCCCAGATTTGCTACATTTTCTAAAGGTGATAAGATTTAAAAATCAGACATGATAGATTAGTAGAAAGAACAGCTAAGGTTTAACCTCTAGGTGGCGATGAGATAAATGCTGAGAATTACTCTAGCTCCAATCAAGGCTCGACTCACCTTAGCTACCTCACTGTATCTGATGGCAGATTTAAATGATCACTATGATTATTTTTACATACAGAATAGCTTTGTGTCATGCTGTAAACGATTGTTAGCAGTTTCGCTCCTCCAAGCACATTAAAATGGGTGAAAGTGAACCTTTCATGAGAGTGATCATGAAACAGAGAAAGCAGGGGAGATGATGAATGGATAGAGCATACTGGAGAGAGCAAGGATTCAGATCCCTAATCTCATCTGGCTTTATCTTTTACTCCCAGCAGTGTTGCATAATTCCTTAATCCGGCACAGTCAATCAGATTTACACAACTCTTGTTTTATTTTCTGAGGTGGTTGCCATTTACAACCAATGTCTTCATGTTGGGGCCAGCGACAGAACTCGCTCTCAGATACTGTGGAATGAATTAATATAAATATGACAATTGATCAAAGTATGATGTACAAGGAGACAATAAGGATGCTAAACTTTAGATATGTCAGCTAACGAGGGATGCTAGAAAACATTTAAGAATTTAGTTAGAATAGGTTGTAACAATAATGCAAAAACATTTAAATACTTTTTTGTCACCTGACATTTGTAAGTTTGGGACAGACTGTGATTAACAGGCTTGCTGCATCCTACAAGACAACTGAGGAAATAAAAAGCCAAACAGAGCTTAAACAAACATTTAACAGCATTTAACTTGCTGCATGCATAACTAGCATTTACATTTTCTTATTGTTTGTACTTGAAACATTGTTAACAATGCAGCCATTAAATCACCATCAGTTATCACTTTAACAATCGTTTAACCCACACCACCAGACACACATTCTAAAATTATATGGAGAATGTGGCTGGTTATATTTGGGGTTGGTTGTCACTGAAGTCCTGCCCACTGAAGGTATGCGTTATGATTTTCTTTGTATGCATTTTCAAACTAGTTGTCACGGACTAATTAAATTTCCATTTTGGCTGTTTGATACTTGATATAAAGGAGTGTAACTTATGATTTTTGCATTTATGTTTTTCTGTTCTTTAAACGATAGATTTATGCATAAACGCTGATTACCCTTTTAAAGGGAATGCAGGTTTTCTCTTTGCTAGACTATAGGATCCACTTGCTAGCCCAGCAAAGAAATCCTGGAGAGGATGGCTGTCACATGGGTCCAGTTCATACAGTGCATGAAGTGGAAACACCAAGAATGTACAGTACAACCAAAGTGTATTTGTCAGAACAGACTCAAAACGTGAGTATAGGAAACAGCAGAGATTAGGTAAGCCCCATTCTGTTTTATTTTTTTATACAGATTTATGCTATGTGTAACCTATACTCTGTCAGTTCATGGCATATGAGATGCAGTTGCCTTTTCAGATTAAAAGATTGTATTTAAAGACTAGTATTTCTCAAATAGATCTTTTTTTTTTACATATCCATCCATCCATCCATCCATCCATCCATCCATCCATCCATCCATCCATCCATCCATCCATCCATCCATCCATCCATCCATCCATCCATCCATCAGCTTGGGTGTCTGATTAGACACTTTTTAAAATTTGTTTTTGTTACACATTGGACTTGGATTAACTGAGCATAGCATTGATTTGGAGTTTAAATGAAAGCAAAAACAACCAACCTCTCCTCTTTATAGGGTTAAAAAAGGTAGAAGAGTAATACCAAACCTCAATGTATTCTCCTGGGATTTTATGTTTCAGACCAACACAAAGTAGTGCAAAGCTGTCAAGATACGACTGTCAAAATTTTTTGCTGAAAGATATCTCAGTTGTATGAAATGCATGCATTTTCACCCCCCAGATAAGAACAGATAGGAACTGTAAACAGAAACATTTACAGTTGCAATGGATAGAAAACCCTCTTTTTTCTTAAACAAATGTACAATGGGATTAAATGGGGATACAATTCAAAGTTTTCAGAAATGATAAAATGCCCAACATTTGACTTGTACTAATTAGCAACAACATAAAAACTGGTGACCATAGTTAACCAATAAGGCCATAACCTCCATATGTTTTAAAGATCTAATAGTTTGAGACTTTCATTTGTTACAAAATTAGCTACTTAGATGTATGAATTAGAAGCCAATGTCTTGTACAGAGCCAGATTCTTCAGAAAGCTAACAGCTGTTTTAAATTGCAGATTGATGATGGGTTACTTTTTCCTCTGAGTCAGAGTACAGAAGGATTTATACTAATGAGTTTCAGCCATCTGGGGGGGGCAGTAATGTGGGAGGATAAGAAGATGGTTCACAAAAAGCATACTGAAGCCGATTTTGTCTTTTGAAACAGTTTAGTTCTAAGTTACAGCTATGTTTATCACTTTCTCTTACTACATGCTTCATGACCTACATAGGTGTATAGATGGGTCCTCCCATGGGCGACAGCTATTCTCCAAGGCCAGCCTGCATCTGCTGCAGATTCCCAGGTGAGCTGAAATCTCTTGTTCTCTCCGGGACATCGTCCATCTGTTCAAATGAAATGACTAAATAACACAAATCCTTTTCACAGTTTTAAAAATTTTCAGGTCACCTACTGGAATACTCAGCTCCTTGTTTCAGAAAAAAAGAAGCCTGCGGGTATTTTAGTAGCCTGTGGCTGAGGACACAATCACCATTAAACCAGACATAATTCATTTGTGTTTCAAATAAATGCTCCAGATACTGAAATACCGGAAATGAGAATGCTTTAATCCACTGAGCTGTGTTGAGATGCTTTCATTGGTCCCCTGCACACACACACACATACACACACACACACACACACACACACGCACACACTCTGACTGCCACAACATCCTCTTTGCTCTGTGTGATGCATTGGTCTCAGTCTCTGGTAATCCAGCTTGGTTGTGCCTCTGAACATTGTCGTACTTTCTGCAATCTGCCAATTTCTGTACGGATGAACCACATTGGAATATCTTAAAGCATCGACTTTTCCTCTGTTTTTGGACCTCCAGCTTGTTGGAGCCTCAAAGGAAGTAATCAGCTCCTGCTGGACTCTCCTAGACCCTACTATGAAGTCCCATCCAGGAGTCTCAACAGTGCTGCCCATCGCTCTCTGCCTCAGTAAGGATCTGCTTTGAGCTGGTTTCTTCTATCTTTCATGGGTTGAACTTTTTCTAATTTATGCCCTTCATTCAATTGAGTTATTCAAACTAAATAAGTCTATTTAGATAAGCAGCTGAGCAAAAAAACTGTCTTAGAAATGAACTTTCCAAATGTTTTGCAGACAGTTTAATTATATGAAATAAATGTTCATGTTATATAAATTTCCAGCTGAGAAGCAAGACAATTAAGGTGAACTTACAGATAGGGAAAACTTATTTCTATAATGCAGATGTAGAGAAAAACTTGGATATTGTTATGAGGTCAACACAACCGTGGTTGTTAGCTTACAGCATGTTGTTTAAGAGAATGTTGAAGTTGTAAAGCTTATCTGGTTTGGATTGTGTGCCAAAGAATTAGAAAGAATTTCCCAAGTTTTGCATTTGGCTGTTTAGTTTAATGTAATGTGTTAAATGGAATTATAGTCTTCTCTAATCAGAGTTTGTTCATATTATGCTCTCACCCAAATTATTAAGTGGTTAGGGTTTGAGAGAAACAAATGCTATTTTTTCAGCATTTTATTACAGAGCTGGTACAGCACATTTCATATGCCATGGACTTTGAATTTAGCCAAAAAATGGTAAAAGTTTCAATGTGAAGCATATATGGTATTACAGCAGCTGTATAAAAGAAGGCTGCAACAGCTTTCCCTTTGACGGCCACATCTACTATGCTTAAAAACTACAGAGGCAATGCTAAATGAGAGATATACCGTATCAGCTTGTGTCACTTTTTTTTTTACTTCATAATAACATAAAAGCAAAAAGGAATGTTATCCTACACAATAAACAGATGTAGCTGAAAACTACCAACTGCTGACAAGCTAACTGGATCTCTACTGTTACTTCATCTATGTCCTGATCTATACAATATCAATGAAAACCTGATTAGAACTAATAGTAACAATATGCGTACAGTAGTTTGAATATTTGCTGCTATTTGAAGTGAAGGTATATCCATTATGTATGTTTTCTTCTTAATTTCTTATTTAGATTTAATAGGAGAACCGTATGTTCAATATGAAAATATTCTTTTTAGTCATACTTTAAACCAAGCTGAGGCCTAAACTGGGTCCCCAACTGCTTTTAAAGAAGAAAACCAATGTTGTATTTAGTTGCATACAGCAACCTTGTTGTGTGTCTAGACCTAGTAGTGCACAAATACACATGTTGGCAGGGTCATACTGGCAAAGTTGTTCTGATTACCTTTACTTTCTAATGGAAAATGTCTGTTAAGATAGGAGGGAATATTCTGGAACATACCAATTACATTTTAATTATATAAACAGTTGCATTATTAGGCTATCAATTATGGAAAACTGGGACATTTTAAGGTAATCTTGTATTTTCCTCCTCCATCACAAAAAATGTTAAGATATTGCACTTTAGGTTTGAATTTAGAAAGTAGGCTCATTTCATGTTGTTTTAATTTAACAAATACACTGTCCCTCTTTCTGACTAAACATTCATTTTTAACTCTGTGATGAAAACAGAAAAGATTCAAATCTCTGAGGGGTCGTTCTCTCCACAGACCGAGATTCAAAGTTTGTCACACAACAAAAATAACAGATGGCACCAACAGAACAATCTATGCGGAAACAAAATAATAGAAATAAACAAGCAGAAAGCCTGTTAGATGCACTATGTGGTGCTTACGTAGCCCGCTGTCATCGAGGACACATGAAACCTAAAGTATTTTATTCAAGAGATGTCATCTCTTTAGATAATTCAGTTAAAGTGCTGCTTAAACAGTCTCAGGGAAATATGTAATCTATGAGCTGATCAATGTACTCCAACAGCTTCAGTGCAGTAGTCCTGCACTAAATTTGGCTCTGATGGCGTATAATCTGTCCAGATGAATGGAGGACAACATATCTCTTTATTTGTTTGATCCATCCAAGCACCAGATGGAATTTTCCTACACTAATATCATTACAGAAAGGCTCTAGGATACTGTTCAAACACACATTCTTTGCATTTTTCACCTCCTTCAGGTTTGGCTCCTGTGTGTTTGGGAGCTGCCATCCCTGCTGCATGTGGAACCATCTACAAGAGCTTTGCTCAGTGTTTACTCTCACTTGGGGACAGCTTGGTGGAAACCCAAAAAGACCAAAATACACAAGATATAGACTCGATCTGCAGGTACGTATTTTTTTTTTCACCCTTCATAATTCAATTACACAGTTTAAACTTCAGTATTTTGAGGAATAAGAATGAACATTAATTTTCTTCTTCAGTGGGGAAATCCAGTGCATTCCATTAAAACACACAGAAGACAAAAAAAAATATTTTATATGTAAATAAGTAGGAAATGTGGATCCTAAAACATATGAGATTATGAAATTAAAGAATAAAAAAAGAAAAAAAAAACTTGTGTCAGAAACATTTTAGAAAGCAGTTTAAATATCTGTGTAGTTTTAGGCATAATGTTAAATTGTAGATTAAGCTTCATCACTTCATCGCTGAAATATGCATTGAATAATGCAATGAACATTTTTATTTACATCTGTTATCTTTAAATATGTCTTTTTTAGAAACTTTTTAATGTATTTTCAAAAAACACTACTTTATATATAATTTCACAAAGAAAAATAAAGCTATTTATCTCATAAACCAGCTTTTGGTAAAACATGGACCAAATATCCAATTGTTGAACTATTGCTGTAATAGATTAGATTATATTGCACACAGATGGACACTGTCTGTTAGTAAAGTAACATAAGTATGATTGCAGCTGTCCGCTGAAGACCTCAGGGTTTTTGTCAGAGGACATGAATGAACAGCGATTATCATAAGGACCATAGAACCCAGCAGACACGTCTGGGATAAGGTTGTGAACATGTCTTAAAGCAGAGGTAGCTTATAAACTATGTCCCAAGCTTCCAATATTTTACAAAGCTAATTTTTAATCCCTTATTTGTAACTTTAAATATGATGACACAACAGCGAAGCTACTGAGATAAGGCCACCCACAGAGTCTGACAGACTGGGTAGGTAGAACTCTAATCAGAGTACAGCTATGAGCATAACGGTGACTCTGGAGGAGCTGCAGCTCATGTTGGAGAAACTGTGACAGGACGACGGCCGGTCATGAACTCAACAGATCAGTCCATTAGAGAAGGATGGCACAAAGGAAACCCCGTTAAAGATAAGTCATAGATGCAGTCAGAATCATTGGAAGGATATAAAAGTTGATGGCCACAGTTGCTTTCCATCTAATTTGGCTAAAAACAGGCTATTTTACCAGGAAAAAAAAAAAACAATTTCCGTAGAGATTTACCTCGACGGTCTTGTAGCCATAATTGCAAATACAAACCACACCTCAGATTTTATCTGCAAAACTTGTAAACCATGTATCATTTCACTCCCTTAAAATTAAGTAATTTGGGTTGGTTTATCCTAATAAAATACATCAATGTTTATGATAGTAACGTGTATTTAGGCTACTGTGCTCATAATATCCCAGAGATCTGCTATGACTTACTTCAAAGTGTTTTTCCATCCTTCCTATCTTAAAGGTCCTGGAATGCTTTTCATGTCTGCGCCAGCACTGCCTTGGCTGGCTGTCCTGGAGAAGCGGCGGCTATCTGGGAGTCTCTGAGGCAAGAGTCCAGGAAGACCCAGTTTTCCGGAAACCTTTACGACATGTGTGCCAGCCGGACAACTCTTCCCCCCAGCGCTGTGCCTACACCTCAGAGCTCTGCCACCTCAGACCAGATGAACAAGGAGACTCTGAAAGGGCAGACACACAGGCTGAGCCCCACCAGCATCTCAATGCTTCTCCCTGGGTTCATCATTCTACTAGTTTCCCTCCGGAGTTAGTCCACCCAACAGAGACGCTCATGTAGCAAAGACACTTATCAAGCTGCAAGCTTTTGAACTGGTTTAGCTGGAGATGTCACTGTAAAAGTGTAAATCTATGGGGTTAGTCTTCTATAAGCAAGCCTAAGAAATGAACAAGATTTTGAAGGTGTTTATAGCAATAAATGTTTTATCTGACTGATGACAACTGTTCATCTGAAGGCTGCTCCAAGCTCAAGAACTTCAGCTCATCATGGACATTTTCAGTTCTAAAAATGTGAAATGATTTACTTCACTGGTTTGGTTCTTTTTCATTCAACACATCTAATGCTGGGCAAACGCCTAGTTTTTTTTATATTTATCAGACATAAACGTAGACATCTACGTTTCTAAGAAATCTATTTTGTTTGGTTTAAAGCCTCTTTCAAATTACAGACCTCATGACATACATTTTAATGTCTATTTATTGGAGCCTCTCAAAAACATGTTTTTTTTTTCCAATTACTTTGACCGAATCTTAGAAAAAATCCAAAAATAAGGACTAAGAGACTCTTTTTGACAGCAGTTTACTCATTTAGGTAAATATGAAAATGTTTGTACTGGCTTTTTCCTTATCAACCACTTCTCTTAATTTAACAGGACCTTTGATTAAGCAGCTTTTCAAACAACATTATCTACAGCAGAGGAAGTTGGAAGTAACATATTTGAAATAAAACCTGACTTCAAGTTAAAATGTTCATAGAAATTGTCCTTTCTCAAGAGAAAGTTTTAAATAAGCAGGATTTTAAAATAATGCTTTAATTCCTTGTATTTTATTGTGCAGCCAGTTTTTAAAATCTGAAACTTGTGCCCTACTTCTTTATGAATTTGGAAACGTAATAAAATGTTATCCTTTGCTTTAAATGTTTTCATTCAGTTGAACCTTTTTTCATCAAAGCTCCTTATTCTGAATTTCAGGATGCATCTAAGTAAAAGTAAAAATATCCTTTTGAAGCTCTCTCCACTTTTTAATTCTCATCCTGGTTTCTCTGCCACTTATCTGGTTTTTAAACCAATTGCTGATTTAAACACAAACAAAGCAGTTGTTTTTATAGTGAGTCCAGCTATAGTCATATCAATATGCGTAGGTGAAATGAGTGTGTGAGCCTGTATGTTAAACTTAATACTCTTAAGCCGTTTCATAACTGGAGATTCATGAGCAGATTAATCTAGTCTTTCTCTCATGCACAGAAAAGCGGGTTGTACCTCGAAGCCTTTAAAATTTATCCTCATCTCTACAGGTAGAAGACGATTAGTGGTGCATTAGGTTCTTAGCTATAAGCCTTTATTTGTGACAGAAGCACGACATCAGCAGGTGCGACGGGATCAGAGAAAAAAAAACTCACCACTGCAGCATCAGCTGTTTGTCCCAATAATCAGTGATTCCTCATTTCCATTTCCAAATTTCAGGGAGTTTGACATGCACAGACGTCATCAGTGCTGCTGACTGAAAAGCCATGGTTACAAATTTTGAGAAGATTAATATGCGATTCAGTTTTTGTCCTGGAATCTGTCAGCTGTCTTCTTTGGCTTTTAGAGGCTGTTTGATTTCTACACAATTACCCAGAAGGTATGCAAGGTCTATACTACAAATTTTTTGTTCCTTAAACATACATAGAAGAAACTACATAGAAAAAAAAAAGAACTTTAACTTTCAAACATCTGATTAGATTTACATTAGACGTATTCATTAAATGGAACCCTAGAAGCAGTGCTCCACAAAAAAAATGCATGTGCACAAGCCTGTACCCGCTCCGAAGAGGGAATGCATATTAAACATGTTAGAGAGAATGCACAAGCCCATATTTCCTCATGCACGCTCTGTTGAAAAGTTGCTGTTTGCATTTATCATATAAGCTTAATTTCTAAAAGAAGATTTACAAGTTTTCCACTATGTCAGACTCACCACCGGTAAGTGAAAAAGGAGACGAGCATGTTGGGCGGCCTTATGTACGGTAAACACATCACCAGAATGATTGACAATTAGGAGGACCACTTATTTTGACGATTCACCTGAAAAAAACATCCTTCACTATACCATTATATCATATTGATATCCTTAAAGTAATATGTCTCATAATTCTTGCAAAAGTTCTGCTTCATAATAAAAACAACAAATGGAAAAAATTTTTTAAAGAATCAAATGCTAGAGTAAATTGAAAACTTATGCCAGTTCACTTTCCTGCGGGAAGAAGTGTTGTAGCTCTGTTCTGCATAAAGACTCATGGGTTGCCTTTTTCTCTGATCCCTGAAGACAAATCTACTAAATGTTAATGAGAAATGTTCACCTCAAGTTCATCATATCAAAACAGCTTAAGTTCTAAATTCTTAATAAAATAATAAAATGGAATCTAATTTAGATTCTCTTAAAGGTGTTTTACGCACACCATTGTTCGCCACTGATCACAGAAACACAAATGGCTGTTTTACCACTACTGAGTATATTAATAGTTAGTTTAAATACTGACAATCTGATGGGAATATTTAAAGGTTAAGTTCTAAACTGTAAATATGAGCTTAGAAAAAGTAAAACTATCAAAAATAGTGCATTCCTCTGCTGAGCCCCACTTGGCTCTCATGTCATGTGATCTTCTGCCATTCAGTCCCTTGGCAGATTTGTCCCTTTATCATTGTTTTTCCCCCCTATTTTCTCTACAGTTGCTTCATGTTTAGCTTAACAAGGCTTTGAGTTATTGAGATCCAACTATTGATTTTTAAAATCTAGGTTGATTATTACGCAAATAGATTTCATAAAAGTGACCTCACATAAACTTTAGCACTAGCTAAATCTTCACTACAATAAAAAATGAATACTTCCAGTTAGGCAATTGAGGTGAACATGGTTACCTTGCCTGTTTGCATGGCCTTAAGCGGTTGGATGCAAGGAGATATGAAGAAGTCGCAGATCAAGCAGGTGTTCACTCACCAACATTAACAAGGAGACTAATGTACAAAACTCCTGAGGTCTCAGCAGCAGCCCTGAGTAATCTTAAAAGGAAGCATTTATTAACCTAATCCTCCTTAAACATACTAATAAAATATATTATTAATCAAAATAAATCTCAAACATTTATACACAAACATATGTGTACAACAGGACTAAAATAATCAAATACTTAAAAAAGAAATGTTACGAAACATCCAAAATGTTTAAAAGATATTTTCAAGTTCTTCAATTAAATTCATAGCATCAACTTTAACTCTTCTCTTCCAAAACCTTGACATAGGAATATTTTAGATATCAGAGCCATTATCCTGCTGCTTTTACATGCATCCCCTCCCAAACACACCTGTGTCAAATGGATGGCTTGTTACCAGGCCTTTGCATGGCTGACTGGCATTTTTAGGGGGGGTAAAGCTGTCTGACTCAGGTGCGTTGTAGCTGGGATGTATTTAATTTGCACAGTAGCACCTCTTAAATACTGGACTTGGACATCCCTGTTTTAAGGAAGGAAAATATGAACAGCTAATGTATTTTCAACTCTTTTGGAGATCCTTAGTTGGAGCCCTGTCAGTTAAGACTGCTATCCATTCATTTTTTTTATTCACAGGAGAAGGGCCCTTCATCAGTGTCACCCAAAGAATAAACTTTACTTTGTTTTATATCATCAATATCAATATTTTAAACTAAACCCTTCATACAGGTGCTGGTCATAAAATTAGAATATCATGAAAAAGTAGATTGATTTCAGTAATTCCATTTAAAAAGTGAAACTTGTATATTATATTCATACATTACATACAAACTCATATATTTCAGATGTTTATTTTGTTTAATTTTGATGATTACAAATGACAACAAATGAAAATCTCAAATTCATCATATCAGAAAATTAGAATATTACTGAAGACCAATAAAAACAAAGGATTTATAGAAATGTTGGCCAACTGAAAAGTATGAACATGAAAAGTATGAGCATGTACAGCACTCAGTATTTAGTTGGGCCTCTTTTGGCCTGTATTACTGCAGCAATGCGGCGTGGCATGGAGTCGATCAGTCTGTGGCACTGCTCAGGTGTTATGATAGCCCAGGTTGCTCTAATAGTGGCTTTTAGCTCTTCTGAATTGTTGGGTCTGGTGTATTGCATCTTCTTCTTCACAATACCCCATAGATTTTCTATGGGGTTAAGGTCAGGAGAGTTTGCTGGCCAATTAAGAACAGGGATACCATGGTCCTTCAACCAGGTACTGGTAGCTTTGGCACTGTGTGCAGGTGCCAAGTCCTGTTGGAAAATGAAATCTGCATCTCCAAAAAGTTGGTCAGCTGCAGGAAGCATGAAGTGCTCTAAAACTTCCTGGTATGTGGCTGCGTTGACCCTGGACCTCAGAAAACACAATGGACCAACACCAGCAGATGACATGGCACCCCAAACCATCACTGACTGTGGAAACTTTACACTGGACTTCAAACAACGTGGATGAAGTGCCTCTCTTCTTTTCCTCCAGACTCTGGGACCTTGATTTCCAAAGGAAATGCAAAATTTACTTTCATCAGAGAACATGACTTTGGACCACTCACCAGCAGTCCAGTCCTGTTTCTCTTTAGCCCAGGCAAGACGCTTCTGACGCTGTCTGTGGTTCAAGAGTGGCTTGACACAAGGAATGCGACAGCAGAAACCCATGTCTTTCATACGTCTGTGTGTGGTGGTTCTTGAAGCACTCACTCCAGCTGCAGTCCACTCTTTGTGAATCTCCCCCACATTTTTGAATGGGTTTTGTTTCACAATCCTCTCCAGGGTGCGGTTATCTCTCTTGCTTGTACACTTTTTTCGACCACATCTTTTCCTTCCCTTCGCCTCTCTATTAATGTGCTTGGACACTGAGCTCTGTGAACAGCCAGCCTCTTTAGCGATGACCTTTTGTGTCTTGCCCTCCTTGTGCAAGGTGTCGATGGTCGTCTTTTGGACAACTGTCAAGTCAGCAGTCTTCCCCATGATTGTGTAGCCTATAGAACTAGACTGAAAGACCATTTAAAGGCTTTTGCAGGTGGTTTGAGTTAATTAGCTGATTAGAGTGTGGCACCAGGGGCCATCAATTTTGAACCTTTTCACAATATTCTAATTTTCTGATATGATGAATTTGAGATTTTCATTTGTTGTCATTTGTAATCATCAAAATTAAACAAAATAAACATCTGAAATATATGAGTTTGTATGTAATGTATGAATATAATATATAAGTTTCACTTTTTAAATGGAATTACTGAAATCAATCTACTTTTTCATGATATTCTAATTTTATGACCAGCACCTGTATATTCACTATGAAATAAAAAATGTATACACAACACAGTCTATCCTTTCTATTTTTCCATGTTCCACATTGCATTTTCCTTCCTAAACATGATTTTCCTCTGTTTGCCATAGATAACTCATCTTCAGATGCACCGCTGCTGTCAATAAATGAACATAAAGGGGTAGGGGTAGACTGTACACCACAAAACGCTCACTTTAGTGTCACAATTTTCACCTCAGTGAGAAATGCTTAACAGGCAAATTCAAACCAAGCATGTGTGGGTCTATATATTCAGTCACAGCAGGTAGCCATGCTAGTTCCCTCTCAGGGAACAATCCCTCTGCTTGTGGAGCTGTGAGTTTTTTAAGTTGGGCAGGTGTCATGGAGGAACTGGCCCGTGAGAGCATCAGCCTGCTGGCCCGGTCCGCATCACATGCCGATCCACCAAGGCTCGGCTCATTTGGAGCTGTCTTCATTATGTTGAAGTCTGCACTTGGAGCTGGACTGCTCAACTTTCCTTGGGCCTTTAAGAAAGCAGGGGGTGTGAACACTGCCATCACTGTGGAGCTGGTGAGTGCAGCCTGAGCTTTTATTTAATGCAAAGCTGTAATTAAGTCTATTCAAAGCTAATCAGAAGGTTTTTGTGAGTACGTTCTGGTGATGGCTCGCAATCATCTCACTCTGTCTCTCCCTTGTGTGAAAGGCCCAGATTTTTTCACAGGTGAGCTCTAATGAAGCTTCAGCTTTTAGTGAGGATTTGTACTGAACTGCATCTGACTCTGATCAACCTGTGTGCTTTGAGTGAAATTTTGCTTTGTAAGCAAAGTGGCAGATTAAGCTGGATCTTTATGTCTTAGGATTTTCTTACTAATTTCAAATATTAGGAAATACCTGTTTTGCTCCATAGTGTAATTTCTTACCTTTTCAATGTATATGGCACAAAAAATAAAAAATAAATAAAAATACAATCCTTAGAAACATGCATTTTAAAAGTTTTTACGTATTTTGTATTTACAGGAACAAATAGGTATGTCCTGATTAATTCCCTACATTGTCAATGTGGGCAGCTAACTATGTTCTCGGACATCAACAGGTGTACCATACCTATTCTAATGTGTTGCTAAATGATATAGATATATCAATACCTCCAAGTATTTATGCTTGTTTGAATCAATATACTGTATCTCCTGCTGTAGGTGTCTCCCCATAAGTATAAAAACAAGAGTTTGGGTGACTACATTTGGCTTCATCCACAATCAATATAAAATAGTCACTGGCTATTTTTTCGTTGCTGAATATCTGGATTCTAATTGTTTCCTTTGCCCACATGCACATATAGTTGTGCACTCTGGATGGGTTTCATTTATTTAATGTTTTTTAAATGGTATTCTCCTTTAAAAGAAACAATTTAATATGCCTCATTGGTAAAAGTTAACTTTTCCTACCTGGAGTTTCAGCTTTTTTTTTTAAAGAGGATGTTGCTTTATTTTCCTGAAAAATAAAAACAATCTAAACATAATGTTGTATTATAAAACAAGTTGGATTTTGGTGGCTGAACACAATCTTAATGTCCTTTATTTTCTTGTTTTTAAAAGAACATGTTGTTGAGATTAGTGGCTCTATCAAAGTTTTCTCATAATTAATGGAGGCGCCCCATACTAACAGACTATCTGCATGTGAAGCTCTTCAGGTAAATTTTGTCTGTAAGGTTCTTTTTGTTTCACATTTTTAGCCTCAATAGGTACCAATTTTAACTGACCCAATCTCTTAAAAAAAAAAAAAACATTTTGTTCAAAATAACTTTATCATTATGGACTGAGCTATTTTTCTGAAAACAGAGGCTGTGAAACTCCTTCCCTGTGTAGATAAGTTTATAATGTTCCTGCAGCTGAGAAAAGCTTTATCCAAGGATTATTGTTGAAGCCCTCATTATATTCTCTGCAGGTATCTCTGGTGTTTCTCATCAGTGGTCTGGTCATCCTGGGTTATGCGTCATCTGTCAGCAGACAGAAGACCTACCAAGACGTAGTGAGGGAGGTGTGTGGACGTGCTGTGGGGCAGCTCTGTGAAGTCTGCTTTTGCTTCAACCTTTTCATGATTAGTGTTGCCTTCCTGGTGGTGGTGCAGGATCAACTGGAGAAGCGTGAGTAAAAGTGTGACGAGCCCAGCCACCATATTTTATAAAAAGATCTCCTTTTGTTGAGCTTGTTCTCAAGTGATCTAAGCAAAATTCTATTTGACAGACACACTTGCTGTACAATTTGATTGAATTAAAGACTATCTGAAGTGGCTGCAAGTTGCTCTGTTTTGTTTTTGTAACAGGTGCAATAAAGGTCCTCTCGCTACATCTTATTGTGTCAGCTCCTTATCTTTGCACTTTAGAGCAGCCTTATTTCATTTTAGTAGCTAACATTTATACAAAAGCAGTAACCTATTGTTCATTGCACTGAAAAAAGGAAGAGTATCAGGAGTCAATTTGATGATTTAAAACAATGGACAAAACAGCATTAGGGAAAGTTCTTTTAGTTATTTTTAACTTCTAAATTTAGGATTTCAGCTTCTTTTCTTGATCTTCAGCTGCACAGTTGAAGCATCCACACTGCCTACTTTGTTATATTATCATACCCTGCTTTTAGATCTTGGCTTTTTTTTAATAAACAATTCTATAGACAATTTTCTGGTACTAATTTGCAGCGTGACCTTTGTCTTGAAGGGGAGAAAGAGAAACTTAAAAAAAAAACAAAAAAACAAAAAACTAATCTATAGGGAAAAAAACAACAAAACAATAGTTTTGGCTATAGCCTGATGAAGAAAATATGTTTTTTTACTGAAACATTTGCTGTGTTTGAACTATTTAAGACCAAAACATCTTCAGTAATTGTAAATTGTATGGCAAGCTTTAGCCAGTGATGCATGATGTCCACTGCAATGGTCAGATGATTAACTGCACTTTCTTCACAACATAAAAGCAAACCTTTAAAATTCTGTTAATCATACAGGACAGACCGCTGAGCATAAACACTTTAGAGACCATTTCAGGGTCCCTTTTAGACTGAAGAACCCATTGAGTGATGACCTCAGGCCTCAATCTGAACCACAGAAAAATCTACCGGTATGTGCAAAGCAATAAAGCTGACAGTGGCTCCTCCACACATCCCCTCCAAATCCCTTTAAGGCTTAAAGACGCATCCATATGAAACAAAGCTGAAATATTATTCAGCAGATAAAGATGCATTTAAACAGCTTATCATTCTTGGTGGTTACCTTCATCAAAAAATTCACAACAGACTGTAAGATTTTGGCATCTGTAAGATCAAATGCTCCCATTCTTTGAACATTATCCTAATAAATGTATGCTTTTTTTTTTCTCCAGTGTGCATTTCTCTGTACGAGACTGTGACTGGATCAAGTGAGGCAGACATGCCTTATCACTGGTACACTGACCAGCGCTTTGCCCTCTTCATTATGTGCCTTATCATCATCCTTCCCCTGTCCATCCCAAAGGAAATCGCCATACAGAAATACACAAGGTACTCCGCATTCATCCTATCTCTGCTAAGAGGTTTTCTACTTATTTCTTTAAAATATATTTTTTTTACGTCAGTGTATTAGGGACGCTTGCTGCTACCTATCTCTGTGTCGCCATCCTTGTCAAGTATTATCTAATGGACAGCCACATAGCTGTTACCCCAGTGCAAAGCCAAGGGTCAGTAACCCTCACTTTCCGTACATAGGTGTGTGTGTAGATGTGTAGTATTCTTGTCATGTGTGCATCTGTCAATGTGTGTATCTTTCAGAGTGAGCTCCTGGGCCTCTATGTTTAGCGTAGTGCCAACAATTTGCTTTGGATTTCAGGTACAATCCCCTTTAACCACATTGAAGTATATATATATATATATATATATATATATATATATATATATATATATATATATATATATATATATATATATATATATTTATAGAATTTTTTGTTTTCCTCTTTCCTAATTTGTCAGGCTTTCAACCTACTTTATTTGTTTTACGTCTTTGTACAAGACCATGACCTGATGTAAATATATATTTGCACAGGAAAAATATCTTGAAGGAAGAGAATCTTTGCTTTCAAGGTTCAAACTAACTTTAAGAATAATCTAAGCACTGAATTTCACATTCATTGTGAAATTGCCAAATAAAACACACCAACAAAAGTCCTTTCATGGCAGTTCTGAGGCTAATAAAAATTAGTAATTGAACTTTATTGATCTCACATTGGAGATTTTACCTCTGCATTTAACCCATCTCGTTGGGGAGCAGTGGGCTGCCATTGTGCACCACCCAGGGAGCAGTGTGGGATTAAGGGTTCTGCTCTGAGAGCCATAGTGGCAGTCTGTGCGAGCTTGTTTAAAACTCAAAACCACTAGGCCGCCACTCCCCAAATATGCTAGATTCACATAAAAGGATTGCTAATTGGTGTCAAAATTATTGTGCTTTCAAATATGTTTGTCTTTATGGAAAATTCACTCTTTTAAATTCACAGATGTGGTCTTTGTTCTTACAGTTAAGAACAAAAAGATGGTAAATATGTGTTAATAATATTTAGGCCTTTATTGGATGTAATCCTGAGTGAAATAAATAATGATCTGTGCAGACATTGTGAAAACACTTTAACAAATCATGAGGCATCCTTCTGTATTTGAGTGCAGTGCCATGAAGCCTGTATAGCAATCTACAGCAGTATGGAGAACCAGAAGCTCCTGCATTGGGTGGTCATCTCTGTGCTCTCCATGTTTTTTTGCTTGCTCGTCTACACTCTTACGGGTGGGTTCCCTTCTCAAATGTCTGTATTTCTCTCTAACGTACTAAACCTGAGCTCCGCTTATCAAGTTCACCCTGTCTTTCACTAGGTGTGTATGGCTTTTTGATGTTTGGGCAAGAAGTGGCCTCAGATATTCTTATGTCATATCCTGGGAATGACGTGGTCATGATTATCTCCAGGCTCCTTTTTGGAATATCGATCATCACCATATATCCCATTATTCTTCTGCTGGGGAGGTAAGTGAAACAGGGAAGTGTGTGCTCTCATGGTGAGGTTTCTTGTCTAAGGATTCTGATATGTTGTCTATTTGGTGCAGATCTGTGATCCTGAACCTTCTGTTACGTGTTCAAAGAAATCGCCGGGGAGTTTTCACCCAATCATTTGAGAGTCGCTGCAGAGTCATTCTAACTGTAGCCTGGATCTCCTTCACACTTCTGATTGCTATGTTTGTCCAAGACATGGCTGACGTCATCAGCGTTATTGGAGGAATCAGCGCCTTTTTCATATTTATCTTCCCTGGTGTGCAGGCACTTAATTTGTTTATTTAGAGCCAGTTTCACTTTATTTTCTTGCTGGGAACTTGTTTATATATAGTGCTGGAGTCAGACTCTATACTTGAACTTAATCTTGGCAAAAACTCCATGCTAATCACATTTTCAATGGCTGTTTAGTTGTAGCTTTATTATTTTTGTGAGTGAATGCTGTTGGCTTTTCGCTTAATCAGAAGTTGCATTAGGAAGTCATTATAACACACACCCAGACTGGGTGAAGATTTTATGCTGCATACCCTTCCTTATTTGAATTACTATTGAAGACATGCACTTACCCTGTTCTTATACACCAGATTAGAACATATTTTTTTGGGCAGTCTAAAATGCTCAGAGTATTATTGTATCAATTAAATGTAACCCACATGACAGTACCAAGACATGGACATAACAAAAAATAAGACATGGGTTGAGATGTATAGTTTTTGAGATGGTAATAGGGCCTTCAAGACATTAAAAGACACTGAAAATGTCAATTTGCATTTATATACTATTACTCATCAGATGCTTTGTTCACAGCTCAAGCAATTCTGGAGAGGAAAAAGGGTTCTGGTATTGTAGATGACAGCAAATATTCATATGTCTGGTGCTTAATTTGTAAAGATGCAAACTTGTAGGCTCTTATTTGACTCTAATTTAACTTTGTAAATCAGATTTTTAATGTCTTCATGCAATCATGCATTGGTTCTAAACCTTGATCCCCTGCTGTACTCCAAATCTTAACTGTGTTTTTGCTCCTGCACACCTGAGACATGCACAACAGTGATTCCCAAGGGCCAGGGATTAGAAACATTATTTCAGTCGATTCCATTCAGCAAGAATCTGTAGTTATTGTTCTTCACAAAAATCTGTCAGGCAAAGATGCATTTAAAAGTAAACTTCTTATATATTTCCTTCAATACAACTAAAAACAAGTAAAGCAAAGTCAAACTAAAACGTGTACCATTAGTTCAGGCAAATAAACATAATATTTTTTCCACACAATATCTCACTTGCTTTACATTAAATGGGCAAACTGGGAAATCTGTGTTTTATCAAATTGTGATAATTTAGCATGTACAGAGTTACTTTATTTTGGTCACTTTCCATTTAACAAAAGTAAAACAATTACTCTCACACACCCCAGCTCTTTAGGTATTTGCTCTGAGTGTGTTTACTGCCACACAGTAGTTCTAGCTTGTACACAGATCCATAAATGCGAGTAGAAGTAAGCACTTGTCCACCAACAATAACAGCAAAGTCCCGCCAGAATGGAGTCTGGACAAACAAGCTCTCAACATATTGAAAACAAAGAAACCATGGAGTGAAACACCTATATGCTTGTGGTTGCTGCAAAAGAAAATACAGTTGCAAAATTGGTTAAAAAAAGTTTGTTTTTTTTCAAAATTTTTTGCAAAATTGTTCAACCCTAACTGTAATGTATTAAACACAAATCGTTTTTCATGTTCTTTTTTTGCTTGTATCCTGCAGGTCTTTGCTTAGTGTTCACAATGCAAACTGAAGATGTCTCCCCAAGAGTCCGGTGAGTCTATCTGCTGTATTAAAAGCTAGGCAGTGTCATAGGGCACAATATATAATTCCTCAGGGCAACCAATTTCAATGGAGAAATTCTAATAAAAACAATAAAAATTGATAAGGTATGAAAGGCAATAAAATTTAAGACGGTAACCATGGCAGAAAATATAAGATATTGATGCCATCTGCTATCAAAACATGCACATTACCTTGGATTATAAATGGTTCACTTTTTGGAAATACTGAGCACTATTTACTGAGCACTAAATACCAGAGCCAGCTATAGTAGGTATCAATCAAAAATGTCCATACCATTTTTAAAAGTTGTTATTTTAGAGCAGCAGTTTAAAAACAGCCATCCACTGTACAGAGAATAATCTTGCAGTGACGGACATTCATAATTAACTGCCAACATTCCCAGGTGTGGTTGTTCAAGTAACTTCTCCTTAATCCCTCATGTGTCAATCCTGTCTAAAGCTTTACAGAAAGAATATAGACAAAAATCAGCACTTCTGAAATAATAATGTTGTTTTGAGAGAGGAGTCTAAAACTAACAAAGGACACTTTTGGCATAAACTAAATAAAGCAATCCAGGATAAGAACCTTGCAACAATGGTGAAGCATAGAGGTGGAGGTGTCATGCTTTGCAGATGTTATACAACAGCTGGACGTTGCCATCTCACAATCACCGAAACCCCTCTAAATTATACCATGTATCACAAGAAAAGGATGTAAAAAAGGAAAAAAGCTTTGAAGCAAAACTGGACCCTGCAACGTGACATTGCCCCAAAACACACCAAGGAATCCATTAAGGACTGGCTTAGTATTAGTAAATGGAATCTCCTGGCCCGAGTAGTCCGTTATCTTGTAAGGTGATTTTTAAATGGGTCTCTTTATGTAGTAAATACCTTAAACATCTCAGTGGATGATAGAGGGAAAACTTTGAGTTATTAGAGGGCATATGTCTAAACTTTTTCCTCAGTTGGTTTTTATATTTTTTTTTATGTCTAAACGAATATAGGAATGTAAATTTCAGTGTTTACCTTTAACTTAATCACTTCCCTTCCTAAGGATGAGAGAAAAAAAAAAAACATTGATGACTTAACATTTCTATTGAAAGTTGTCAATTCCTAACAGGGTGATCTTGACATAAGTACTGTGCATAATACTTGAATATTTAACATTTCCTCTTTGATTTTCCTTCCAAGCAGTCTGACTTTATTTATTTTTTTAAATCTCCTTTAAGCATACATCATAAGTTGCATCAAATGTTATTAAGTATTTTACTGGGACCCGTAGCAAATGTCCTGGAGCAAGTGCTCCTGTGAAGTAAGTCTGGTGTAAGGCCTGTGCTCTGCACTGCAATTAGGATCCATATTTAGATGTCTCTATAGTGTCTCAACCCCATTTTGTCAAAAGGCTGGTATAAATTGATTAGGATATACCTTTAATGAGAGCAGGGCCACTGTTTAGATAGATGTTTATTACTATTATTTTAGGTGTGTGAAACCAAATGGTTCTAAAAGCAAAAAAACAACACACACAATAATCCAGGTAAATGTAAATTTGATTTAGATAAAACAATCTTTGATTAAAGTCAGCTGTTCTCATTTCTTTTCATTGCAGGGATATTTTAATCATCTGGGGAATCATAACAATCGTGGTTGGAGCGTTCATCTTTGGACAGAGTACCACCATCGCTGTAATGGAGATTTTCCACAAGTTCTGAGCTTATTAGTTCTGTTCTTCTGTAGAACCCCCCTATTCTGTACAACTGAACTCTGAATTTGTATTGCAGAATTTTAATTGTAAATATAAATAATGTATTTTGTCTTGAGCATAGCTAAAAAAACAAACAAACAAAACAATGTCAATAGGATTGCTCACTATGTGTGATTAGAAAATCTGTGTTTGGAATGCTTTTTGCAGAAGATGTTTTTGTAATAAGTCTGTATATATATATTTATGATGGTTTAGTGTATTTGCAACATAGGTGTTAGAATTATTCTTTGAGATGCCTGCCAGGGGGCGGTATTGCATCATTTATGAATGACTAAACTGTTTTTTTTGTGTGTGTGTGTGTGGGGGGGGGGGGGGGGGGGGGGGTTGACATGTTGTGGTATGATGCTGTTTTTAAATAGAAAAAAAAAACAATGAAGTGATGGTTTTTTGTCACATCACTAATTTCTACATTTATGTATTCTCCATTTTTCCACCATGAATCACAACAGTGGTATAAATCTGAAGCGGAGGTGGGCAGAAATCAGCTGGTTAGTATTCATCAACTTCAAGCTACAATAACTCTTGGGTCACAGCTTGCAAGCATGTAAATGTGAATAGCTTTACAATGGATCTATCACCTGCATGGGTCAGTCTGGAATCAGAGGTGTGCTATTTGCAGCAAAAATAATCAGAAATGCAAGAACCACATACTTTTCTTTACTAGCGGAGATACCAATAATGGATTTTAAGCATGGAAATACCAAGCAGCTTTTTTTGATTTTTCTGTTACGTAATAGATGTTTTCATCTAGTGTAGAACTACTTTGAGGGGCAGCCTGTGATATTGTGGCTGTGTTTATTCCTCGGGATTATAGTTTGACCTGGCCAAATGCCTAAATCCATGAAATGCAGGAGGGAAAATACATGAAAACAACACAAAGCCCTTCATAAAGTCTGCAGCTTGTTTCTTTGTGAATCAGCCTGCTGGCTTTATAAAGGAGATGTGGTTTTAATTTGTATACAGCTTTCCAACGATTAACACCGCTGCTGTCTGAACAGCCAGGAAAAATAAGGTTATACTTAACATTTTTAGGTTTCAAGGCATTATTTAGTATAAATATGTTGGCATGATGACACAGCTGTTAAAATAAAAGATTTGTTTCTCAGCTTCTTGGTCATAAAGCAAAACTAATTTATTTAACCCCATGCTTTAAATGGCTCATGCCAACTTAGATGACTGTAGGCACAGCTTTAATCCAACTGGAGCTTTTTGATTAAGTTTTGAGATGTATATTGTTGTTGGTTCAGTAATGATTTTGTTCACTGAGTGGCCAAGTTCCTGTGTCATGTTTGCATTCATGGATTTCACATAGACAAAAAAATATACTTGCCGTAGGACCTTCACTGACATCTGGTTTTATATCCTGAACTCTGTGGCTAGCAATTGGTAAGCCTCTGGCATAACTCTGCCTGGGCATTTGACCACTCTTCTTCTTGCTCGTTTAAACAGTGGTGCAAAATGAAAGGCCCAAACTCTCCTTAGGGTTTCATAGGGCTGGATAAAATGAAAAGAGTGAAATTTACAACAAACCTGAACTCCTAGATTTCGCATGGATCATCAAAATAAGTGGTCCTCCTAATTGTCAATCATTCTGGAGATACGTTTACATAAGGTCGTCCTCCTTGCTCATCCCCATTTTCACTTACCAGTGGTAAGTCTGATATAGTGGAAAAATTACAAATCTTCTTTTTGAAAGTAGGCTTGTATGAGCGATGCAAACAGCAACTTTTAATCAGAGTGTGCACCAGGATAAATGGGCTTGTGCATGCTCTTGCATCCATTTAAGAGGCGTTACCTCTCGTGAGCGGGTTCAGGGTTGTGAATGTGCCTTTCTTTTAAAGTGGAGAGGGTGGGCCTTTGGAGAAATTCTCAAAAATCATCCACTATCCTTTTACTAAAACTGTTTTAGACACTGCATGCTGCTTGATCGATTTTTATACAGGTTAATTAGTTCAATGGTATCTGGCTGCCTTTTAAACGTCAAATTGCTTCTGATAAGAGCCTTAGCCAAAGACCAGAAGGGAAATAGATGATGTCCATTAAATTCCTGCATTTGACTCTCACGCAATGATGTTAATCTTCAGGCCTTTTGATTTTTAAAATAAATTATATATATATAAAAAAACATTTGGCAGATAAGTATCAATTACTTGAATCAAGAACAGGAACACTGAGTGTATTAATGCAGTGATTCCATGTAGGTTTCTGTATGATCTTCGTTTTCTTTACATTGAGGTGATGTACCTAAATCCTTCAATAGCTTTATTCAGCTCCCATTCCTTTATTGGACTGGTGACCTTAAATCTCTGACCTTTGGGTCAACCTCTGAGAGATAATTCCGTTAGCGGTAGCAGGAGTCTACTCTCAGCCTATGTGCACAACAGATCAGTATGATCTTTCATGCTGTCTAATCTGCTTCACAAGTAATCATCTGCAGCTGTCATCCTAAAGTCTGTGAATCTGTTGGCTGGGGTTTGTTGGAAGGTCTTTTTTACAGCGATACTGGAGGGAAAAATATGTGAGACTGATTTTTTTTGCCATTTGTTTTCGACAAATAGGTTTAATAGAAACTGTAATGTCAACATCAAGTAGGCGACAATCACCACAACGTTCATTACATAGTTTGTGCATGGTTTAGCATGTCTAACCTAAAGTTTTTCATAAACCAGGTATGTTTGTTAGTAATAGTGTTATATTGCATTAAAACTCCAACAGAAATGGGTCAAGTTAGCGAAATTATGAAGAGCAATGGTTGCTCAGGAGATGTCCTGTCACAGGAAAGTTGCCAGTTCAAGCCCCCGTTCTCTCTCTCTTGCCTTTTGTTGGTATCAGAGTACTGTTGCTTCATTTATTAATTAAATGCTCAAATCAATTAAATGAAATTCAGTTCAGTTTATTTCTATAGCACCAATTCATAACACATCATCTCAAGGCACTTTAGAATTCAACCAGATCATACAGTCAAATTGATTCAAGGTTTTTAACCAGTTGATTGCATAGACTCATTGACTAGAAGGTAATCCCTCACACTAAGCAGTGGAGAGGAAAAACTGCCTTTTAACAGGAAGAAACCTCCAGCAGAACCAGACTCTGTGTGAGTGGCCATACTGTATGCCGAGGCCGAACGGTTCAAGGAGGCAGAAGCACACATACAGTAAAAAGCAGAGATACAAAAGGCAACTGTAAACCAGCTCTACAGGCGGCCCCGTCCAGGAAACACACAGCCAGGCAGACGAGCTCCGAGCCAGCTCCCATGTCAGAGGATGAACAGAGCACATCTAGCAATCCAGTCAGAGAAACAGGACTACACTGAAAAACAGGCTGATCTCGAACATCTTTGACCAAAGGTTTTGATGGCAGCAGCACAGGTGATATTTCTCTCCAGGATGGCGTCACAGCCAAACAGGAACAGACGAGGCAAAGCTTCTATGAGGAAAAACAGAGAGAGCAGAACATTAGAGATTGAACTAACAAATTCTGCAGAGTGGGAGAATAGAGATAGAATGAAACAGAATGATGAAATAGGGGTCCCTATGTCCTCCAGCAGTCTAAGCCTATAGCAGCATAACTATAGAGATAGCTCAGGATAACCTGAGCCACTCTAACTATAAGCTTTATCAAAAAGGAAAGTTTTAAGCCTAGACTTAAAAGTAGACAGGGTGTCTGCCTCAAGGACTAAAACTGGTAGTTGGTTCCACAAGAGAGGAGTCTGATAAGTTAAAGATCTGCCTCCCATTTTACTTCTAGAAATTCTAGGAACCACTAGTAAACCTCCAGATTTAGAGCGAAGTGCTCTATTAGGAACATAAGGAACAATCATATCTCTGATATAAGATGGAGCTTGGCCATTTAAGGCTTTATATGTGAGAAGGAGGATTTTAAATTCTATTCTGGATTTAACAGGAAGCCAATGAAGAGAAGCCAGGATAGGATGGATATGGGGTGCGTTCGAATTTACTGGCTGTCTTCCAAGGACGCGGTCCACCTGGACTGGATCTTTTGAAGTCTGTTAAAATAAGGACACCGGAAGAGTTTTGTCTGAGAATTCAAACAGGTCTAGCCTTTCACGACTTTCTCCGCCATACACTCTGTCACTTCGCAACTGTGACATCTAACAACTGTGACAACCGTGCAGCCCAGTTTCTGTAAGGCAACATAAATCAATGTGATTATCACAAATCTAGTTATTAACAAGCAAACTTTTTGAATAAGAGATCTTATGTTAAATAAACCACATTTAATCATTTTAACCTTTTCCCCAATTGGAGTTATTTTAATTTTAATTAGATTATCATGATTTACTCCTTTGGGAATCTTTTCTAATTTATTTGATCTTGGTCTTGGGCGAGACACTGTCTGGATGCAGTAATGAGTGGGTAACAGTAGAGAAGCTGCAGAAAGGTGTTTTAAACTACGACCCTGCTTCCTGGTCTGCAAACTGAATTGAATCACTTTTATTAACTGATTAATTACTTCCTCAGTTTTAACGGTAATGGACCTGCCTGGGAGAATAATATACAGTATGGATTCTGTGACTCATACAATGAGATTAGTTAGTAACTCCAAGCTAACAGCCAGAGATAGTATGGACTAATTCAAGATCTGCAAAGCCAACCTGCATGGTTCATCAAGTACGGTTTACAGGAAATGGTTGTAATTCACTCAGTCATCAGAGAATGATTAATTTGCATTGTGACTGAGTGAAGATTTGCTTTCACTGAGGAGTGATTTGTGCTTCTGATTCAGCATCTCATCCAGGTTATGTTAGTGATAAGCTCCCGCTGTGAGCCAGGCTTGGTGGCAGAGTGACTGGATAACTCTATGAATGAATCATACCCTGAATCACACAGTATTCAGATCTTACCGAGAAGCACTGTATCACCTACTCACACACTATAAAATGTAACTAAAAAAGCAACTTGACCTTAACCCTGCAGATTAGAAAATACAGTGATTTATGTAATTGATCTTTTCCAGCATATTCCATAAAAGGGTCCTTATTTAGAATACTATATTTTTATTCTCCAGTTAGGACCTGAATTTTTTTTATCTTAAGTCATGTTTTATTTGAAAAAGAAAATAAAGGGCTGGTAAAATTCTGTAACCAGGACAGATAATGTGACCGAAGCCATGTTTGAAGCCCAATTTAACTGTAAAAGTACAGATGCATGAAATACCGCAAATTAGTCTTTTGGACAAATCATTTAAATGAACTAATTGTAGTGATATTTTTATGCTCAAAAGAAATGCTCCTCCCATCAGTAAGTCAAAGGGGCCTTTGGCAAAGCCTC